CACATAATCAATACAAATCACAACAATTACAACAATCAAATAATACACATGATACACATATTTGTCGCAAGGGTCTGTGCGGCTGCCATTCGGCGCCACAAGATGACCTCAATACGACTTTCCCCAACCGAAGTTAGGTACCCATTCACACCTGGGTGGAGTGAGGAAAGTCGTGTAAAGTGCCTTTCCCAAGGGCACAACGTCGGGGCGCATGTTCAGACATGTACCGGGTACGACTCGGAATCGAACCCGGGTCTCCCGGTTCATAGTCGATTGCTCTATCCACTACACCACCCGACGCCATATCTCAACTTAATTTGAAGACATGACAATGATTCTTGGCCTCAGATTATCCTTTTTTTTTTTTTAATGGTGTCGCTCAATGCAAGGCCACTTCTAGGCATAGAGCTAGAGTTAGATACTTTGTCATCTGGTAGGCTAGGTGAGGCTAAACAGCAACCTTGAGGGTCACTAGAGGAAATTTTGGGGCTCCACCACTAGCTGTTCAGTGTTTTCAGAACTCACAAACTAGATGGTGTTGACTGTTGAGTCATCTAGTTTGTGAGTTCTGTGCACTGTTTAACTTTATTCCAACACGACGACAGAGAGATCAAATTTATATGTAGATGGTGTGGAATTTGTACTATATATTGTATAATGTATAATTGTTTGTGCCCCAGATCCATCCGTTGGCTGGACAGATGTATGAAGGCCCACAAGAGGACAGACTGTCAGAACCTGTTTGGTATTGTACAGGGAGGGCTGGACCCAGAACTCAGGAAAATCTGTGTGCAAGGTTAGTTTGCTCATTCTGCATAGTGCAGTGGTTAGTGACCCTGTCTAGGGACCAAGAGATTGGCAGTTTGAATCCTGTCACTCACCCAACATGCAAGCTACTGTGATATTTTGTGATCAGTTCAAATAATGCTATATTATCAATTTGTACATGTATTATCATTCATACCTTTGTGATTTCAGAAATGACCAAGAGGGACCTGCCAGGGTTTGCTATAGGTGGTTTGAGTGGTGGGGAGGAGAAGGCCCACTTCTGGAGAATGGTCCACCTTTCTACTGACTACCTACCTAAGAACAAGCCTAGATACCTCATGGGGGTTGGGTAAGTACATTGTGTATACAGATATGGAGCCTGTGTTACATTTGTTAAGTGTTATGTTTAGAATGTTATCTTGTTAAAGTAATTTCAATCTCTACAATGCAAATGTTCTTTGACTTTGCTTGTGTTGTGCAGGTTATGATAGCATAGTATGGTAAAAATGGATACTGAAATTACATGTATGTATACTATACTTATCCTGTGTCTTGAAATGCTACTTCAACACCTTTACATTTCTGATAGTCTATGATACCTTTCCTTGTTTAGCTATGCAGTTGACCTGGTGGTGTGTTCAGCCCTGGGCTGTGACATGTACGACTGTGTCTTCCCCACAAGAACTGCGGTAGGTTCACCACCTTTTCAACAACCAAGTTACTAACAAGAAATTATTAACAAGAAGTCTCAAAGATGTCATATCTCAGTGAATAATTTTTGAGTTTTTGCTTTATTCATCGGTGAATAGCTGATTGATTGATTGATTATATTGATTGAATAGCTGATTCTATCTATGCATTTTCCCACTAGCTCCCCTAAGGCAACAGGCAATGTCCTTTTTTTACACACAACCTGCTCCTATGATGCCCTAAACCTTGACTGATTTTTCCTCCCAGAGGTTTGGTTCAGCTCTAGTTCCCACAGGGCAGCTGCAGCTGAAGAACAAGCAGTATGCTCGAGACTTCCGTCCAATCGATGAGGACTGCAGGTGTTCCACCTGCGCCAGATACGCCCGGGCCTACCTACATTCCATCGCTACTCAGGAAACTGTGGCCTGCCACCTAGTGACTGTACACAATATTGCATATCAGGTGGGTATCTAAACTAACTGTTCCATTGAATAAAATGTTGCACAGGCTACCAACAGATGTCAGTAGGGGTAGGCAATGGAAAAGACGGGAGGATAACAACAAAGAATGGACCAAGTGAAACCTTAACTGGCTTACAAGGAACAGAAAACAGAAGAGTGGTTAGAACCAGTTGTAAGATCATCTGTGGTGCCCCAAGGGTCAAACAATAAAGACTAATATGACTTTTGTAATTTTTATAGTGTTGATGAACATGCTGATTAGAAAAATGTCCAGAGTCAGTTCTGTGTAGGACTAACAAGAAATTCTAATCAGAAGGTGTTATGTTTATTTAACATTTATTGTTCCATTATTGACTTCCTGTCTTTGTCTCTACAGATGAACTTGATGCGGACTTTACGACAGAGCATTCTGGAGGGTCATTTCCCCCAGTTTGTACAGGACTTTATGGACACAATGTACCCAAGCAAAGACTACCCAGAGTGGGTGGTGGAGGCTCTATCAGCCGTCAACATCCATCTACAGAAAGGTCAACCTCAAGTGGACATCACTTTAGAAAAGAACATTAATAGTTAACTAATATTTCCACATTAATAAATATATTTCACATCATGTTTCTTATACACTAACCTAATCACTTCTCAAAATCCACTGTCTGAAAGTAATTTATTTTGACATGAAAGGTGACGATGAACATAAATAAAACTGACCATTTTACGGAACTTACATGCACTTACATTTTACATACAAGCTTTACTGTGCAAAATGTCTTGAGGTTTAATATGACCAGAATGGTGCAATAAAATCTTGTAATCAAACTTTCTCCTGGTAAACTTGAACCTGATAGTCTGAAAGTTTTTTTTCAAAGGAATGTCAGTGGTAACCACGGTGGTAACCAGTGCTCAGGTCACCGTTTGGCTGCTGTACTTCTGCAGAACAGCCTTGAGCTGGAGCAGGTTGGCGTCTGTTCTGATCGCGATGGGATCAAAATGTGTCCGGCTGGCCCTGTAGCCTTCTTTCCGCATGTACTGGAGAACTTTCTGCATCCTGAGAAACAGAAAGCATAATCCGAAGTCAAAATTTTTCTAACAACCTAAACATGGCACCTACATCCTTTTCAATTGTGCTATGGGAGGAGGGGGGGGGGGTCCACTTACTTTCCATATCAAAGAAGCAGGCAGTGGCTGCCATGTTGGTGTTCCTATTTGCATTTCAATGGTTTAAGGACACAAACTTTTTGTTGCATTTTTGTTTCCTTTTTTTCTGGGCTTCTCTGCTTTGAGCTGTACACATTTAATAGTGGATATTTCAGACTGTAAGAATTTTCCTGTATGTCCAAAAATGACTGACCTTTGATTTACTGAAATGCAAATTGGGACACCAACATGGCAGCAGACACAGCAATGATTGCCTTACTTTGGAGAGTCTTTGCTCTTGGCACAGTGTCTGTGGATGTTGTAGTAGAAGGCTGGGTGTGGCTGAGACTCCTCCTTATCCCCTCCATCTGTCTTTATTTTCTTACATGGATTCTGGTTGGTTTGTTGACAGTTATTGTCTGAATCATCCTCGAACATTCCTTCTGCATGAACAAGATTTTTGAGGATGGTCAGTTTATGCATGGAAACGATTGGGCTGAGTTATACCAAAGACTTAAACAATTGAATACTAGTATGCATGTACCGCTTTCTCCATTTAGCACTTAGCACTTATGAGACGGAATATGGTAGTTGAACACCCACCACCACAAGTGGACTAGTCCCCTGGTGTAGTACTTGCACAATTTTGTGGCCCAAGGGCTATAGAAAGGTATATATGCACTGCTCTACACGATGAAAGGTACACATACCACTTTTCCCAGCAGGGCACTCTGCCTCTTGAATCATAGTTTTCAGGTGATTTCTAGTCATGGGACTCACGAGTAAGCCTCTACATGTTGAGAACATTCTCTTCAGGAACTCCAGGTTGAAAACAGGGCCACTCCTTGGGGAAAAAAATTAATGAGTGACAATTACAAAAAGTTGTGTCTACATGTACAAATGTACACAATATACCATAGTATTGCAGCATTCAATCCATAACATAGTATTGCAGCATTCAATCCATAACATAGATGACTCAGAAAAATATACCATTTGCTTAATACACGTTTGTCAAATTTGTTTATGTTTCAAGTTAACAAGCTGAAGTGTATATATTTTCATAGAAAGATATAAAAGTAGCAATGCCTGTCCAATTCTGACCACGCAATCTTGGACTGGCATGTGTATTTCTTGTACTTACAATTTTGCATCTTTAAGTCTACCTAAGACATATTTTAGTCTCCTTGTTTAGAAGTTATGTACAGACAAGTATCTTACCACACAGGTCCCAGCAGAACAGCAGTCTTACCAGGTGCACCAACATGGCAGGAGCATGGCAGGAAGGTATAATTGTTCTCTGTGAAGATTTCAATATAAATATATTAAGTAGCACAGCGATTCACATACATCTCTACTTGTGAGTGATACTAATTACTGTACTGCTGATACTACACTACACAACTATAATATGTTGCAATCTGCAGAACAAAAGAATGCCTCCACCCAACAAATGTATTTAGAAGACAACTGTAGGTTACTATTTAACATCTTGTCGTTGGGCTGGAAGACCCTCTCCTGACACAGCTGACAGTGGATGACCCCCTGTACGCGCTCCAGACACGCGTCAGCGTAGGACGGACCCCGCAGGACGCGTACAACCACCAGGAGGAAATGTTCCGCCACCAGGGACAGGAGGACATCAATACCTTTGTTACACCTGGCCGCAGCTCTGCCAGGAGATACGAGAACAATACATGACATATTCTTAACTCGTTCTTTTAGTTTAATACATGTATCATAACTCAGGGAGAAGAGTTTTACTGGTTCATGTATGTGTAAAAGGTCTGAAACACATTTGCTACACCTAAGTCCTTGCTGTTGCTCCACCAAGAGATACAAGTACAATACATGGCATATTCTTGATTGGTCACATAGTATACCTCAGGGATAACAGTTTCATATGTAAAACTGGAAGCTATGAACAATCAGATGTACTGTTTGGATGTACCTGACAACAGAGGCTAGTATCAATCGGACTGCCATCTCTCTCATGAACTCACTCCGCGTGATGTAGCCATTGTAGTGTCTCTGGGTGACATTGGGGCACTTCCCGTACACAGCGCTGGTGTCTGTGGACGTTATGGCCACAATGCCATCCTTTGGGACATTTCTGAAGGCAGCGTCTAAGTACTGTACAGAGCAGCCATAAGGATCCAGGTGCCTAAAACAACAGATGCCAAGTGTTGGTACAGCATACATGTACACATGTATTTGATGCACTAACATAAGAGAGTGTTTTCGTGTGAAATCATCACTGCTTCCATGTTGGTATAAAATGTTTGTTTCTTAGCCTATGAAATAATCACTTTAAATGCCTCCAGCTCAAAGAAGAGAACAATAGATACATTGTGCTTAAAAATTTGCCAATAAAACACAAAAATGATGTGCGTTATGATCCATTGAAATGCAACTAAGAGACACTGCCATAGTCAACACCTGTCAGCTTCATAATAATCATTGACAATGATATGGAAAGGTAGTGAAACCCCCATTGAGAAAACATGTACCCTTCACTTTTTTTTTAAAAGGCATTATGCTTCATGTCAGTGAGGATGACAGCTGTACCTTTTACTGGGGGGTAATTTTAGATTAGTTGTTGGATTCACAGCAAAATGTGGAACCTTACACAAAGTCAAAGGGTCTCTGGTGCAGCAGCACATTGGCATCGCAGCAAACAACTTCAATCTCTGGTGTCTTCATCGCTTCTGCATCATCTGCAGGAGCATTGTCTTCAACACTACCCTCTTCATTGTTCACCCTTCCATCTTCCTCCTCCGTAACATGACTGTTCTCTTCATTCTTGACTCTGAAGCCGTTTGATCTGACGTTCTTCTTGATGAGAGCGACTGTTTCCTCCTTAATGTCCCCGATGGTCACCTGTGGCTGCTTGCTTCTAAGGTACTTGGACCAAAGTATCCCTTCAATGCCTAGTAAACAAAACAATCCATCAATTTACTAGTATCAGACCAGAATACTAGTATACCTGAAGCTAATAAAGCACAAAATATACCTGAACCTAAATCACAGGGAAAATGTAAAAATCCATGGTATTTACAAGATCCAGTTATTACCTGTGGCTCCAAACGCATCCAGACACCGTAGCTGATCCTTCTCTTCAGCCATGGTTGCGAGAGCACACAATACCATCTCTCTGTGGGGATGGTACATTTTGTACATCATTGGGTGCTGGCTGATCATGATCTTCAACGTTGATAATAAAGTACTTTTTTTTGAACGGGACATCTTATTCTTCATTTTACATATACATGTATTTAGAATCTTGCTGAAATATTGACTTGGAGTTTGACAAGACATTTTACGTTTTAATAGCTGAAACATATTAAATTTCTATAACATATGCCCCCCTCCCTTAGCTCCCCTGCAGCCTAAATGTGTATTTCCTGTTACTAAGAGGTAAGCTCTCCCAAGACCAAACGAACCTGTTCATCCTCATCTTAGGGTTATAAAAGGTGTCAGTCTTCTCTGGAGTTGTGTGGTTTTCCTTCACTTTCAGCGTAACGCCCATCTCAACAGCAACTTTCATCGGCTCGCCTCCGGAACTCGTGCAAGAAGCCATGATGATAGCTACACTAGTGTGGAACAAACCAAACCCGTCGTATAGGGGTGTTCATTTTGGCACGTTTTGTCCAGTGATGTTTATGATGTGTGGATTAGTGAAACACGTAATGTCATCTAAACTTCTTTAATATTCATTTTGGTAAGAATTTTTTGTGGTAGAAACGCGAGAGAACATCACGAATTCCATGTTAAAGTACATGAATATATTGCTACACGAATGGGGTAATCAGGAACGTGATGTTGCACTTTGACCTTACGTCTTCTGCTACTTCCGGTTCAGACTTCTTCACAGAAAAGGAGGCAGGAGTTGGGAATTGATATCAGCGCTGCAAAGATGCAGGTAAGTGTTAACGTAAGAAAGGTACAGCGGTCGAAATTACTAAACACAATGTCTCTTTCTGCACCTTTAGCACGGTTTCAAGAGTTCTTGGTATGACTATGGTCTAACTCTAAGGTAGTTCATTTCGCTTCCTACAACTTACAAGGAAACCCATGCTGACTCACTTGTGTGGTTGTTGTTATCTTCAAGAAGATTTGGGCATTTCCCCCTCTTTCTGGTGGTCCACTCTTTATTTCTTAATCCCCATAAGAGCGGATCGCACACATCACCAGAAACATGTAAAGACTCTCAAAAAACATGCACACTAGTGAAACACTGAGCTGAACCCCACATCTGCTTGTCAAGTTGAAGAATGTGTGAGTTAAGATACAGTCAAACCTGCCTATAGTGGCCATAGACTGGCTAAGAAATAATGACTACAAAAACAAAGAACATACATTTGTACTACAATGTACAATGAGTGAGTTGACAAACTATTTCTGAATCAGTTAACAATGCATGCTGAATGCACTTGTCACAAAGAATGTTGAAATGTACATTAGAACAGTTGAGCTATTATGGATTACATATACATGTATGTAATGTTACTCATTAATAGAACATGGTAACGTTACATCATCAAAATGTGCTGGTTTGTTAAGGAGGAACATTATGAATAGATTGTTATCTTTGTAATGTATGACTGTGCATGTGGATAAAGAATGATTGGGGAAAAATTACCAACTTGGGAAAAGATATAGATAGTAGAGGTATACATGTGTGTAGTTGCTTGAATGCTTTGTTGTTGTGATATTGGGCAAAGGTTGGAGATTTCTCACTAGGTAAAAATTCACCTTGGCAGGGGTTTTATTTTCATTGACACTTTGTTCAAACAGTGAAATCTAACAGTCAGAGTTTGCCATTCCATGTAAATGTGACTGCTGCAGGGCACATCTTTGTCAGGATACCTTTGGTTGAGTCCTGACAGGGAACAGTCATTGAACCACCAGCCACCCTCCTGTTCCCTGGCACAGTTTTTCCTCAGTGATTCGTCGTTGTCCCTGTCTGGTGTGGAGAACATCATGTATCTGGCTGTGGTCCACGGGTAGCTCTTTGAATCCATGGAGTTTCCTGCAGTACCGGTGAAACCTGACAGGGAGAGCTGGTAGTTGGTGCTCTCGCTGCAGGCTCCTCGCTGCCCACACTGAGGCTGACACATGCAGCCCAGAAGACCTTTCTCCTGTCATTTCCCCGAGATGGATGGAAATGAAATACAAAATGTAGTAGATAGTTATTGGCCTTCACCTTTCACATGCACAGTTCAAACTGTGAACTGGTCTGACCATTGTTCACAAAGTTTTATGTTTTTGCAATGATCTCTTTCAGGTGTGTCACAAGATATCAAGCATACAAGCCTCACAGTTATGAGAGAAATGTACACAGTCATCCTTCACAGTTGAAGTCGATCCTCATTAACTGTTACAGCAGGATGGAACACTCACCAGTACCGTTACTGATCAAACAAGAACCAGTGAACGCAGATGTGGCCAATCAGGAGGCTGTGGGAAGTGGTCCAGGACCCGAGTCTGGTGAACCTCCCCGCGAAGATGCCTGGGAGGACTATCCAACCCACTGGCAGGCTGTGGAGGGCGTAGTGAGCATCGGACAGGCCTCCAGGATCAGGACACCGTTACGGGGGAGACTGTACGTTTGTAGCGAATGCGAGTACCACGCCACCCGAGCCGACGTGATAAAACACCAGCGTCTTCACACCAGGGCCCGTCCGTACGTCTGCCTGCTCTGTAACTTCGCGGGGACTCAGAACTCGCACCTCCGCTCGCACTTCAAGCGCCACCATTTCACGCCGTTGGACGAGGATAACCATATGATCATCCCCCAGAGCCACTTCATCTGCCAGGAGTGCCACATCATCTTCCCAACGCAGGAGAAGCTACAGACTCACTTGTGCGAATCCCACACAAATGAGGAGCAAACTCCCTCCAACAGTGAAGAGACTGAGAACAGTGATGATATGCAGGTAGACTCCCTACAGACAGGCAATGTGGGGAAGCAGAATGGAGCACTAGAATCAGTTCAACATGTCAACAACGTGCTGCACAGAAACAATGAGCAGAATAGTCCCCTAAGGTCTGACAGTTGTGCAACGTCCAAACACATGATTTCAAGTACTGTACCTCCCACAGATGATGGAGTCAGCATGAACAGTGCACATGTTATTCACATGTCACAAAATGATTCAGACTTTAGCAGCAAAGGCACCACATTTAATCATGATGGTGCATATTTGCAGCCTGCCTTTGCCATTAATCAAGAAGAACAAATCACTGCCAGCTCCAAAGAAAGTGTCACCAATACTCCATGTAGTTTCACACAAAGCCATGTCTTTGAACAGAGAGAAAGAAGAACTTGTGGGAACCCTAGTAGTATTGAAGACAGTGTTAGTGTTACTCAAGATTGTGCTATAGTAGGTAGTAGCAACAGCAGTGAGCATGTACCTCCAAGTGAAGGGTTAGCTACAGTAGGCAGCAGTAGCAAGGGAAGGAAGACATTTACATGTTCACAGTGTGGCTACAAAGGGGGGAAGAAGGATGTCCAGAAACACTTAACAGTACACACAGGATTTCGGCCGTATGTCTGCCTGCAGTGTGGCCACACTACCGCACAAAATAACCACATGAGGAAACACTTCCAGAGGATTCACCCTGGACAAGAGGCAGAGTTTGACGTCAGGACTGATGAGTTTTACATTTGCAGCTCTTGCTTGTACTTCTTTTTGTCGCAGGAGACTTTTAGCGCGCATTTTGACAAAGGGACATGTGTGCGGGATGGCACTGAATTATGTAGTGATACGATGTCCCCAAATAACGTTATGCTCCAAAATCAAACACTATTTAACCCCCAGGCTGCAAATATAGGTACCAGAGACTACGAGGAAGAACACAACAATCAGCTGTGTGAGACGAGCTTTAGTTTTTCAAACACATTTGAGGAAGGACATCATCTAACCCAAAGAAACAGGCAGAGAAAAAACGCTGGGCCAAAGTGTGCTATAAAGACCGATGGTACCATCAGTAATCCTCAAAATACACAGTCTGATGTTATAAACCACTTCAGACGCAGTATTAATGTTGAAAACAATTACAAAGAACTCAGGTCTGAAGAAGCGATGTCGTGGTCTACTGAGCTATCATCATATGAGCCAACAGTTAGCAACGTCAACGGACAAAATCACATGAGTTTGCCCTCCTTGCAATTGGTAGAGACAAGAAATGAGACAAAGAAAGCACACTTCAAAGGGGTCCAGGGAAATGCTCAAAACAGAACTTCCAGGCGTTTCCAAAATAGCACCTCGTCAGTACCATCCAGGATTTCCAGCTCTCAGCAGAATGGACAGGTGTCTTTTTCACAGGAGGGCTCTGCTCAAATGCTGCCAGGGTTTTTGCAGCAGACAACAACACACATCAGTATGGATGGCACAGGTTATGGTACAATAGCCTCACCAACAGTAGGGAATGCAGCAGCAGTTCCATTACATTCACTGAAACAAAACTGTGATGAGGATGTTCACACTACAAATACTGTGCCTAGAAATATCAGGTGAGATTCTAGCTTTAGTTACACTGACAGTACCAAAAGTCTTGTTGACATTTTTAATTTACAAGATTTACAAAAATATTGAGATTTTGAAATCAGTACTCTATAATGAAACTGCCATTACTAATGCTTTAGATGCAACACTTCAGAATGGAGGCTTTCTTTTACCTGAAACAGTGTGACAAGTTGGATACATGTACTGTATAACTAGTGTCACTGGCCACTCAAGTGATGGCAATGCCCTTTCATTCTGCAAGGTTTGCCTGCCTGTATGCTATATACATGTTGATTTATTGTGTTTTTCAGGAAAGCAGCCCGAAGGTCCTTAAAAAAGTACACACAGGTCCAAAACAGACAGAGGATGCACTGTCATCAACCACTGTACACCAATAGGCGCAAGCCTATACAGCCTTTTGTGTGGCACTTCCAAGGCAGGTCCTATATTACATATGAGATTGCTGGGAAAACATCAAGATCTCTGCCCAAAGGTAGGCACTTAAAACAGTGTAAGTACTAGTGTAGTTGTACAAGTTTCATTTCATCATATTATTGCTAAATGTATGTACAGTAAATGCCATGGTTTTCATTATAATACTTGTACTTTTGTCATAACACCCATAGTTAAGTAATAAATAACTAAGTGTTTCTCACTTTGAAATTATCAGTGTTATTGGTACACTGTTATCTCTCCATCCTAATGCCAGACTGCACTTTTACAGTGGACCGCCAGATGGCGTGTAACTTCTGTCCGTACAAGACCAGTAAGAAGGAGCTTCTCCGTCTGCACATGAGGAGGCACCTCTGGATGTCCTGATGAACAGAGACCTTTTCATGGATCCCATTGCATGCTGGGAGATACAGGGGCATTGTGGGTAGCTGAGGGGGCAAACAAAGTGATTACTTGATAACATAGGACCAAGGAGGTTAAATTAGTTGATTTTAACTCCATGATAGAACAGACTGACAGCAGCACACATGCAGTGCAGGCACATTGCCTTTTCACCATTTAACTGCACGTGTGCTGTCAAATTTGAATGTCTGTAACTTGTAAACAGTTCTTGTTTGATACATGTCCAGATGTGTTTTGTTTATATCTCAGGGCCTTCAACTTTACACATTTTAAACCCTGTTCATTACACTGTGCACTGCAGCCAACTGACTGATGATGATGATGACACTGTGCATGCTCAGCTCAAACCATGAGCCAGCTAATTATGCTGTTTGCCCCCAGAGCTACTCATAATGCATATATAAGTGCCATTAGAGTTTACGTGACTTCTTCCACATTATAACATTTTAAATTATCATTCAGTAATGAGTTGAATGGACTGTAATATGTAGCATATACAGTATTCAAATTCTCAGGAAGGTTTCTTCATGTTGCGATAGGAGCGCACTGTTGGAGCAAATCACAGAAGGGTTTTGTACTTTTGTGTTTATAACTCCTAAACACAAAAATAAAACAAAGCAGCACAGTAAGGATGATCTGGTTTTATTATATTATATGTAGTCTACAATGCAATGCAATGTAATGCACTTTGATACAAAGATATGATATCTGTACAAGTATGATGAAGATAAGTTATAAATCTATCATTGTTGACCATGAGTGCCTGGCTATTATAACGTGGAGTCTACAAAGTTGAGTGTCATTTGGTAGAAATATGATCTCCAAAGGTGCAGAAACCATTCTTTAGTGTCATATTACAAAACAACCATTTTAGAAACATTTTAAATATACTTTTAAATAGACATCGTCCTATTTGCTGCAATGTCACTGCCCTATTGAATATCTTTCATCCATCATTTTCGTTTTCCTTGGAATTTATGACGTGCAGAACCTATATATCCTTTTCGTCCCCCTTTCTCTTGGTGGCAGGCCTCATGAAGGGGTTGGGTCGCCCTGTCCTCTTGGGTTCTCCCCCGCCGCGTTTCTGCACAGTTTCCGGTCTGCCACTGTTGTATTTCAGCACGTAGGACTGACTGCCTTCTCCACAGTACCTGACGGGGTGTCCGTAATTTTTCCTCACCTGTAACGCGGGGGTGGCACTGGTACCCACGGCTGGGGTGCCTATGGTCGCGCGACTTGCCGACGAAAAAGCGCCCCCGTGCGGAAGGGATGCGGACTGCTTCTGGAAATCAGGACTTCCCTTAGCTAACGAATCGGTGGGCAAGGAACGTCTTTGTGAAGGAACCACACGACTGACTTTGCACGTATTTTCGTCAGAATCCATAGACGTTACCGGATGGCTGCTGTAGTCTGGCAGCTTGTCCCCCTCTTTGACGTTACTTGAGAGTACAGGAGTTTTTGGCGGGACCTCTTTTCGACGAACGACGCTTGCTTTCGTGTCCTTGTCGTGCCAGTGGTACGGACACTGCTGCCTCGACTTGCCCATATAGTACTTCACCTTCTCTTGCAGGGTGGCCAACTGCTTTGTCAAAAGTTTCACCTCTTTCTCCCTGGATTCTTCCGATTCGTTCATCCTCTGCAGCTTTTTCTCCAGCTGCCGAATGGTTTTCCCGTGTTCTCTGTCGTGGTCCAGCCTTTCCTGGCGCGCCATTTTGTGTCGCTTTTCCGCCACGAGTATGACTTCAGTCACGTCGTTCTCTGTCTGCGTCCAGCAGGTGATCATAGGCCTCTTCAAACTTTTAAGTTCCATCGTCAACTCGAAATTTTGCACAATCAGTTCGTCTACCTTCTGTCGGAGCTCCTTCTCTGTTTCTATAGAGTTCTGGAGGTCAGCTTGCAACCTAGCGAACTGTTTCGTCCCCTCTTTGCTCGTGCGAGTCTTGTTCCTCATGGAGTCTTTCATTTCTTTCACGGTAGCCTCGAGCTTCTTAAGCTTGTCCTTCGCGCGGTATTCCTCAAAGACACTGTGGTCTTTCTCCTTCTTGGCTCTGTCGGCCTCTTCCCTCAGGATGGCAGCACACCTGTCCTGAAGAGACGTGACGTATCTAACGTCGTCTGCGTATTTATCTTTCAGTTTTAGCAACCTCTGGCATTCCTTGAAGTACTGATCCTTCTCCAGTATCAGTTTTTCTAAGTGCTCAACGTACAGTGCCGCTCTGTTGTCTACCCCTCTTGTAATGTCCAAATAAGCACGTTTGGGCGTCTCGCCTTCCAGTTCCAAGGCCTTAATGTCGGCTGATATCTGCCGCACCTCGCTTTCTGATATGTGACACTCCTCGTCGGTTTTTCGAGCCTGAGAAACCCTGGCCTTCAGCTCCTTGTAGAGCTCTCCTAGGTCGGAGTCACCACCACCGGAGCTTGTCTCGGGCCTTCCCGGGGAGGGTGTGCAGTTCTCCCGCCGGAGGGAGCCGATGATGACCGGGGACGTGGAGTGTGCACGCGGATACGGTGACCGGGACTCCATACCTTTTTGTCCCATGTCGCTGACAACTGGAAGTGAACTGTCTCCGCAACTTGGTTATCAAGAATTAAGCGACAGAGCAAGAAGAACGCTGTTTGCTGTACAGACGACACCTGAAAGTCGTCCTACGTTTGAATCGACGCCCCCGACAATTAAGTCCGTCTTTCCTCGGGGGTAGAAACCTCGAGCTCTCGCTCTCGGACGGCGTACAACAACAGTCACCAGCCGTAACGACTAACGTTGGTACGAGCAGTACGCTCCAGTGCAGAAGTCAAGATGCACTAAACACACTGTATCGTCTCGCAACGTGTAACAATCCTGCTGTCGCTTGACCCCTTCCAATAGCGCAAGAAGTCAGTCTGTCACCTTCGATTTATATCTCCTCGTCTGAGATACTAGTCCCCGGGCCTTCTCGTAATAGCCGTCCAGGAACCAGGGTACATTTGCGTATGTAATTACGCTGCCACTCGCCCTTAATCCGAAAAGTTAGTTCCTCCTGTGATGTCCATCCCTACCGTGCAGGAGCGCTCAGCTAACGGATTTCCTGTCCTGACGACGGAAGGCGAAGCGACGTCCTGAAACAAACATTCCTCATTACGTACCGTGTGCCCAAGGTGTTGCCCCGTCCGTTTCCGCTGTTGATATATGCTTTTTTTACGACAGTCACACTTCGCGTCAGCCGGCAACAAATTGTTCACTACTTGGTGATCCACAAACGCAACAACAGTTCTTATCGCCAGGCTTTGTACCCGGCTCCGCTAATTTGTCCGACGATGTTTACCGAAGCCCCTGTCGGGGAGAGGCTGGTGAATCGGTCGCCCCGGGCAACTAATGCCGCCGCTCACCCGTCCTACAGTAGGTCGGGCTATTGTGGAGTGGTGCGATTCAGCGCCCACGGACCAGCAAATCACCTGTGAGCTTTAAAAAGCAGGTAGCTGGTCCCACTTACCAAAACCTCTCTTCTGTAAGTAGGTAGGCTGAGAGCTACGGCGTCAGTCGGGTGGGATAATTTAATCATGCAGATTTGTAGCACGGTAAAAACGGTATGACATATTCATGATATTGATAGACTTTTTCACTATCGCATCTACATTTAAAAATATGTCAGGTCATTTTTACTGTATGTAGCGCATGGTGTTTAGGTTATGCATCTCTTTACTATATGAGGGGCTAGACTGCACTGGTAATATAATAAAACTTGAATAGTGAAACATTTGCCAATGGACGAGATTTCGACTGGCACATAAAAAGTACTGTCAGGAGATTTTGTTTGCAGACTGGATACGAACTTCAGTCCTGACGGCGGCCACACGGGTGGTATTGTCACTTCACTGGTAATGAGTGTTATCCAAACATGTGCGCAGACCTTGTGTCTAGCCGCAAACATTCTCTAATGTGTCGACAAAGACGGGATACCCATTATTTTGTGACAGATTCAGGCCGCGTGTGTGTGCGAACGTTATTTTACATAAATCATCTCTAGATTGGCGGTCAGGAACTTTGGCTTAGAATCCCATTTTAGTCCTAGTCCTTTTTATTTAAAAATCCCGACTGCCTACGCCGCAAATATTTTTGCAAATTATCAATATAATCCATAGATTAGTCTCACAAGATAATGTTCGCTGCACTAAGCTTAGGTTGTTCCGTCTCTCTAGTCACCAGAAAAAAGAAAGAAAATTGAGCCAAACAAGGAGCTAGAATGATCGGCCAAGAGGGTTTGGCTAGCCTCTACCAGGCTTCGGGAGGCGGCCAGAAAGAGTACAAATCGGCCAAATAGAGAGATAACATTCCAGATTTTTTCGGGAGCGGCAAACTGTTCTCTCCCACCAGACAAACTCCCCTGGCATGTTATCTCTCTATTTGGCCGATTTCTACTCTTTCCAGCCGCCTCCCAAAGCCTGGTAGAGGCTAGGGTTTGGTTATCGTAGATGTTTTTCTAAATGCTTACAACGTACACTACGCGATGATATTAGATGGTTTTACTACTGACTTCGTTGCTAAACACTGGTTGTTAAACTGTATATTCTGTACCCTTACCACGGTGGCCTATATTGTGGAGACTACGAGAAGAAAAGGCCATTCGATATCTGTTTATTGTCATTAGAGTATGGGTATTGTTGACTTGTTCAATAGCTTAACAATATATCGAACACACTCAATTATGATAGCCTATTTACGACCGCTAAGTGGTTATCATTGTGATAAGACGATCAATTGATAACCATTAAGGGCGATGAATTCATTATTAATGTGGTCATTTCTACACCGGAAATCATGATGTTAACACAATCTATCACGGAGGATATTAAGGATAGAAATGTTTGGAACAGATATCATAGTTGTAATGATTGGGAACTTCCGGAGACTTGTATGGGCATAGAAAACACACCTGTGCGTTTTTGTTGTCCAGAGTAATGTTAAACCGGAGGCAAAAATCATTAGATAAATATAAAGAGACTGTAATTTCCAAACAGACAAAATGCAATTTGATATTGAACAGTTTACTAAATGGTTTAGAGAAATTACATAGAGTGGCGAAAACAGACACCATCACATGTTATTCGTAGAAAATAAAAGAGAAGAATATGATCATTTTCAACATTGTTATTGCTGTTCCCTTTCATTTCTGTCACTGCTTTGCTTTTGATTGGGAATCAGTTCACATTTTGGGTGCCCAATTATGTCGTGAGTCGTTGTTTATATCAAAGTGCATTGTTTAAAGAAGTTTATGCTATTTCCCCAGGCTTTTCATATTTATCCCCCCCACCCCCCTCAAAAATAATATGTCGACTAAAATCAAACCCATTACGGCCATGCAACCCAACAGCAATAAGGAAAGTAAAATCTTACAGTGCATTAGACACATTTTTCCATGTTTACTACCTTTTAATATACGTTATTATTTTGCCACTTGCAATTAGCCACCGGGCATGAAAGATCATACCATTGTTATCAAATCTGTGCGCTTACAGGCTAGCCTCTACCAGGCCTCTTTGGCGCACCAACTCCCCTGGCATTTATCTGTCTTGGCCAATTTCTACACTTTCCAGCCGCTCCCGAAGCCTGGCAGAGGCTAGCTAGTTCTGACATCACCGTTGAACTGTGCATCACAGACCCATTATAGTCCATAATTAGTACTGTGTATCCTTGAAAATTTTTTCGTAGTCGTAAATATGCTTTAGTTGTCAGGCTTTCCGAGAAAGAACGTAAGGCTGTCGGCCTAGCTGACTGAACGATCGGCCTGCCAAACCGCCTGAGGGTCCTCCCAGCAGGACGTGTGACATTTGAAAGGTGAAACGTTTTAAGTGAAACGTTCCCACGGAACAGGCCATCTTCTGACGTCACATGATGAGTTATAAACAAACACGGTGCATCTATATGTATATATATTTCATGTATATATATTTATATCCCTATTGTGATTGGAAGGGAAGTGACTACCTGACTTTGCAGGCGTTCTATTTATCAAACAAGTTTCAGGAAGTTATGATTGACAACCTCATACAGATTTCACAAAAAGCACAAATAAACGTTACTATTAGTTAAAGTCTACACATTGAAAAGACAATCTTTGAGATTCATAACGTATACGTAACGTATGAAAAACCTTTGAAAAAAGTCATGTATGTGGGAATATCACACTACTTCAAAACCAGCTGTTATAGACTGTTGTAGCCCGACTAGCATTAACGTACATTAAGGTACTACGGATAAAACATATACTGTGGATTAGTTTTAAGCCCCGGGCGGCTTTTCCGTAAGAAACAAACATCTCGTTCCCAAGTGCTGGGCTTCGTTACCATGGCAACGGCACGTCAGTTGTTACATTTGGCGGGTGGCACTTGACCCGCGATGTGGACCTATAGCCACCACTTGTGCAGGTGTTTCAATACAACAGTTTTATCAGTAGCTTCAACAGCCAAATCGGCTTGCCACTTGTGATAGACGTCTGTACACTATCTACACATTACAACCGGAAACGGAATTGACGATACAGATTAGAGTTTTTTCTGTACCATACTTTATTCTCCACTTGAATTCGTAAGATTTTTTTGGCGACGTCTCAGGGAGGAGCCTAATGGTACAGTATTGTGTGCAGTTTACAAGAATTCTGGGAATTGTACAGGAATTTTGTCCACAGCCATGGGATGTCCACAGGAATGTCTCACAGCTCTGTTTGTTGACACACATTTATGCCAACGTCCTGGGAACCCTTGGGAAAATTCACTATACACTCGGGAGAAGTGCACTGTATCTGTACTGTCTAGACTTACAGGTACTAAGCATATAAGGCTTCCTCAAAATCATGATATCATGGCAATGCCATGCAGACAATAACCCTAACAGCAACCACCGTCGCCATGGCAATGTATGTTTTCATTCAGTTTACCTATGTGCGTTTTCAGCTGTGAAATATCTGCTGTATATTATATTTATTTTACAATTTCAAATATCATACTTATAATTTCCAACAACATACTCCCACCACTCCCTCCTCACCCTGTTCTGAATGCAGCCTTCTATAACGTTATATGTATACGTTTTGCTAACGATAATTAATCTGTGCTAGATGACACATTTCTCAACCAAAAGGTTTCATCTGCCAACGATCTTCTATGGTAACCTTTCTCCTGGCAATACTGCTTCCCACTGCTAGGTGGCGCTGCAGTGAGAGGAATTCGGTCCCAAACGTGACTTTCAAACCCTCCTCGCGGTTCCTGGCCCGATTTGAAAATAGACATCATTTCTAGAGTTTCTCATTCACATAGCATCCTCAATGCGACGATTTGAACTATTCATTCGCGGAAATACTAGCCACATGTACGCTTCATCAAGTACTTCTTATTTCTTATACCCGTTCAGAACTCCTTCTCTGAAGTCGATGAAGACGGCCACCGCCTGTCGAGTCTTCTCGTTCACCAAGACGTGACCGCAGTCATCAAGGATGTCCAGCCGGCAGTTCGGCACTCCCTCCCGGACAACTTCTGCACCAGAGACGTCCAATACCTGGGGGAATTCAGTTATATAAAAAACATTGTCATATATTGTGCAAATGATGTAAAATGTCTGACTAGCTTGCAATTTCGACATGTACAGTGACACAAAACCGATGGATTTTTGCGTGTGACCTCACGAATAATTGGCAAATAAGAATAGAAATTTATTGATGGTCATAATAATGTTAAAACTTTTGCTGCAATCATAGTGCAATGTAACATTGATACCTTCTTTACGAATGTACATGGAAAGTTACAAATTTCAAGATACTTTATAATCAAAGCAGCCGTGCAGTCTATTGGTTGCTGATGTACTTATAAAGTTGGAATGAACACCATCCGTATACAGTATATATCTAAATCCTAAATTATTAGTATGGCTGACAGACTTACGTCATCCTCTCGTCCCCAGATCACATGTGTAGGTGCAGAAATATTTCCCATGCTCCTTTGCAACACGTCCCATTTCTCTTTTCTCCCCAGTTCATCAGACACTGCAGGTAGCAGGAAAATGTCATAAAATTTATTGTTTTGTCATCATACATAAAATTATGTTTTGTATCAGAGGATACAAATCGCCTACAGTGGGTTAAATAACGAAAGTATATCTACTGCAACTGTAAAATCATATGCAATCTTCAATGGAGGTAGACGAGGATCTGTGTATGATAAGTTGCAGATTTCTCGAGCACAATATCAATGATAGATACTAGTAGAGAGATCTGCGTACTTACACTTTTGGAAAAAGTCGTTGTGTGGCGCCCTGTCAGCCAGTGCACAGTACAGGAGCTGTTGTGTTGATAGGAATAGTTGCATTATAATAGGAGGGTCGTGTTTTTAAAGATATCTCTACTTTTTAGTTTTTCAAATAAACGAACAAAAAAGATATGGCAATAACAGACACATTGTGGTACCACAAAAACAATACTAGAAACCAGGGAACAGAAGTTTCGACAGAACTTTGAACAATAGCACCCATAGCCTATATTCACATAGGAGGGAAGGGTGTATTTATCTCTTTCTCCCTTTTATTTTCTTATCCCTCTCCTCTGCTTTTCAAGAACACAGCATACACTTTTGATTCGACGGTTCAAAGGTTTTAACAAAAACGTCAGTGCTCGTACTCGACCTCACGAAACAAAAATAAACCTCTGTGGAAGTCAGTCTTAAGACACAAAGAGGCCGACGTTCACAGCCATGAATGGTATGTTCGTGATACCTTATCGGGGAGCTTGAGTTTGCCGATCTTGTATCTATAGGAGTTGATTTCTGTCATTTCTCGGAAGTCGTCCAGCGTCTTGGGCACGAGCATGTTCCTACCCTCCAGGAATGCCCTCATCATACGGCTGTGTACAGGGGTCACCACTCCTGGGAAGGTCAAGGATAAAAACGATGAAAATGGCCGACCCATGACGTCACATACCAAAATGGCGGTGTCCATAACATCGAGAGTAAAACAGAATATGGATTTGCTTGCCCAAAAAGAAATAAAACATTTGATTGGCCAGAATAGTATCATTAGTAATGCTAGAAGTCCAACCAAACATTGCTATTGAGAATATGATTGGGTTTGATATCATGGATAGACCTCAAAATTGAACTTTCGAACTGATCAATTCTATAGGTCTATCCTTTGCCCAGAATACGTTTTGATTACACAAAACTGTAAAAATGATGAGTTGTCGAACGGCTCAAGTGCCAATTTGTCGCTTAAAAACCCTTAATGCAAACTCAGTCCTGAACACGTACCGAGTGGACAGAAGAGCGTGAGCAGTGCGATGTTTGACCGGTAGGCGGCAGCATACAGCCCGGCTATCCCGCCGCCCATGGACGTGCCCACCAGGTGGAACGGTTTTCGGTCGAGACCAACGGCACACACAAACTGCACATTGGCATGACAACAAAAAATATAATCTGAGGAACAGCACTATTTACTTTGTTTATCTGGAATCATATGTAACGTTATACGACACAGACGTCCCAAATAAAATCAACTGCGCAATATATATCTGTGATTGACTGTGAATGAGTCCTACTTTAGCTGGTGTTAAAATCCTATGATAATGTAGTTGTAGCTATAGAGTTCAAGCTTAGTTCCAACACAAGAAAGGTGGACTCAGCATAAATGTCCTTTCTTGTGTTGGAACAATACAACTATGGGTTCTACCAACGTTAACACAGATGAGCCTTCATTCGAATCCTATCATGTCGTTAAATTCGATACGGTTTCTGTTTTGGCACTTTTTTAAAGTTGAATATTAATGTTAAACCTGATCACAAGAATTGATTGAGAAAAGAAGTACCCTATGTAAGGTGTTGGCCATGCCCTCCATAGACAGATCCTGGCCAGGGTTCCTGTCGGACTCACCATGGCCGGGCAGGTCTAACGGTATGATGTGCAGATTTTGAGGAAGAGCCTGCATGACGGTAAGAAAAAATATTACCTCCAACTTTAATTAGTGACGAGATTCACTTATTTCTCATCGTTATCAAAACGGATATTTTACATAAGGTTTTATTGCTCTTTCGTCAGGATCATGAGGTGTATTCTGTGATTTTTGTCATATAAACCGTTGCGTTTATGTTTTTATTTCGTTGTATTTGTTACACGTACGGATTATGTGCAGCTTATACTATAGGGGTAAGTGTAAAATGGTTTGGACATATTTTGACAAAGGTTTTAGCTTTATCTAGATTTTTTTTTTAAATGAACATCTGAAATATGAATAAAGTCGCTGTGAGCAGCAAAAAATTAATTAATTCGCTTTTCCGTACCTTAATAAAATTTGCCCAAGTGTCCTTAGACGTGGAAAAGCCGTGAAGGAAAACGACGGACGGTTGTGTGTCGCTAGGACGGCCCCTCTCGGCATAGGCCAGTCTATAACCTTCTACCGTCACAAACCTGACGGTGAGACCTGCCCGCCATATCACGGCCCTGGAGTACAATGGACGATGTTACGTCGCTGAAGGTTACACATCCAGGTAATAAGATACGCCGAAAAAGCAGTTACTCAAGGAACTGGATATGATTTTGGAAACGGTCAGACGTTTCAGGTAGCGACCACTAACTTTCGTCAGTGACACTAGAGGGTGACGATGGCACTTGACGATGTTCTATAAAATTTATATAGGGTCAACCTTGCTAGGGATTTGATATAATGAGCGGAACTCACATTACAGTGCATGTTTATACAACGGAAGAATAAAACAAATACGTGTACAAAGGCTGTTCATTTTGCAATAGTTAAAATCTGGCCACTTGATTGCATTCGCCAAAAGATGTAGTAGAAAGTGGAATAATCATTATATATTTTTGAATTGCTATATTAAAATGCCTATCAGACTACCAAATCTTACTTCCTGATCGCCCTGATGATGATCTCCGGTTTGGTGTTGTAGAAGTAGACGAGAGAAGCCAGCGGTACAAGGGTCAGGGTGGAGACCCCGGCCACCAGCAGCCTGAGGAAGGGGAGGGCGCTCATGTCGGCGCTGTCACCTACAGGAGAAGACAGGGGATATATGCAGAACTGTTAGGGTTATACAGTACATGGTCAACGGTTCCACCTTTCTTAACAATGCAAACACCACTGCAAATAATGAATAGCTTTCTATCTATTCACCACGTAGGTCTCTGCACAGGTGATAATGTCCACAGGTATTTCAATAGAGTACGTAGACTCCTCAAGACCAGGTGTCACCTCTTAACGACGCGAAACCAAGTCAGAAGCGTCCTCGTGCCTCTATTTAAGTTCCAGTCTATGCACTGCCCAAATAAAATCGGCTAGCATTTTGACTAATTTGAATGTAGGTCAAACGGGTTAGATACGCTTCTACTAACGTTAACATGCACAGAAATGTGTGAGTGAGGTATAAGTTTATACGGTTTGTAAAAATTGACTCAGAAAAAAATATGGACACTTACCACTTTGGGCAGACATGTATAAAATCAACCACGTGGGCCACTGACTTAACAAGTCTTACAACTTCTGATCTCCCGAAGGCTAAATCGCGAAATACGTCCGGTCGTCACCAAGTATTTTAAAACACCGGGAAGTAGAAGCTGTGAACTCTGCCCTCTTTTGTAAACAGGAAAAGCACATGCAGACCACGTGCTCGTCCACTTAAAACTTGTAATCTTTGATCCCGTGACGGTGTAGCCTTGGAATTCTGGAGTAGGAGTACAAAAAGGCAAAGCAAAGAAGTCAGATCTATTAAAATTGATCAATGATGAACAAGCATATCGACTCTGACAATCGCTCGACTGGTTATATCTCCTATGGCTCCTATACAATCAATCAATCAATCAATCAACTTTATTGCTCAACAATTGTGGCTATTCGTACGCTTCACTTACTCCCATAGCGGCCCTAACTGAATGGTGACCAAATCGAATAGAAGGTATAAACTACCCCGTGTCAACGCTTGATCACATGAACACTGGTACCCACCCCTGTACGATGGGGCCCTACATGTATGTCAGTCTGAACCGTGACCCTACCAACATCCTGATTATGAACCTGAGGGGTCCCCGAGGGGCGTTGAACAAATGTTCCGGCCGGATATTAAACACCTCCACCGTGCATTGTCAATCTCAAATTCAATTTACGCTGCGCGTACGTATTTTAAACAGACAGCGGACCTCACATAAGTCACGTGAGCAGCACGCTATAGTTATCCACCCTATGGGATCAATATATAATGCACTCACTCATACTTGACAATATTGTTTTACCTAAGAATATACAAGTCATTTTAATACACCCAACATCTGATTTTAATTATTGTGAAAAACCTGTTGCTTTTGAAATGTGAATTTGGTACATTACAATAATAGTGATTTATATCACGTCTGCTCTCTGCTCTATATGCATGTAGATAGATATTGACCTACATGTAAAATGTTTTCAAACACCCCTGTCTTTTAGTGGACTGCTCTGGTAACCTTTAACCCTTCACACGAGGTTTGCAGCTGCAGTGTTGGAACATTTCTCCCAGTTTTCTACGCTCAGAAATCCATATAAAGACGCGGTGTGAAACAAAACCGTATAGTTTATCCCCAGGAGCCTTCTACGAGGATCAATGGCGCGTAAGAAGAGCGGGAAAAGGGTGAGCTGGTCTTCCGAGAACTGCGAGATAAAATGGAGGGGGAGGGGGGCATATACGGTCTGCCAGGGTCTGCCAAACTTGCACGTGTGGTGCTAACCCGGTCACCTAGTCGCTCCGAGGACTATAGCTTGAGTTTCTCGGCAATTTTATGCCTCTTTCCCCGCCTGGCCAGCTACACCAACCCTGATATTTTTTTTTGCCTGCTTAAGTTTAAAGCAATCAACAGCCCAGCTAAATTATTTCTGGCCCTTTAAAACCAAACCCTATGTTGTGTTGTTTTCTAGAAGGGAAAGGCGGCCAAACAGGCCCGACAGAATGCCGAGTACGAGAGGGAAGACCTGAAGAAGGCTCCTCACACGTTCGTCATCGCCAGAGGCAAGGTGGGCAACAACGTGGGTCAACTGGTCACGGACATGCGCAGAGTCATGGAACCCTTCACTGCCTCAAACCTCAAGGTGTTTGTTTGTTTGTTTCATACAACTCGTAAACTCGTAAAGTTCAAGCTGAGTAAAACCAGAGAGTGAGGTTAGATCCAGACACACTGGGATGGTGGGTCCCTTAATCTCCAAGCAGATCATACGGTGGCATGGCAGCATCCATTGGCAGTGTCCATTTTTAATAGCCACATGTACGATCTGCACGGGTATGTTTAATTTATCTCAGTACCTGTTACCATGACAGTTCTGATGAAAAAAAAAACACAAAATGCCGTCCATAGCGGAGATGTGTTGTGCTCATGTTGGCCACTATCTGTAGTGTTTTATGTTTGGAAGTGATTGGTCATGTACACGTAACGTTACATTTATTTTCAGTTTCAGTAAGGAAATTGGTGTTAGTTGAGGTAAGTAACAGTTACCTTTCCCAAGTGAGTAACTTCAAGTCAAGGGGCAGTATCAAACCCAGAATTTATTATTATATTAGTGAACAACTCTAACGACAAGACCACCTTGCACCAGGTAAACATATTAACAATATGAGATATACCAGTACTAACAAGAAGTTGTCTTTCCTACAGGTGAGAAAGAAGAATGTCCTGAAGGACTTTGTTGCTGTAGCTGGTCCCCTGGGAGTAACTCACCTGGTCATCTTCACCAAGACAGAGAAGGGAGTCAACATGGTAGGACTGCTGTCTCCAGTATCAGGCTTTCTACATACATACATAATATTCGGATGCCTAAATGCCCATAAGCATTGAGCATCATCATTTCTATTAGCATTGTATAAAAAATATGAAGTAACATCAGCGTATTAGAAAAGATGCCCATTGAATTGATAGTGCTAAGTACATGTACTACTAACCTTGATATTTGAGAAGTTTATGAATCTAGAGAAATGTTAATGGCATCTGCTTGGAGATTACAGACTTGGTATAAGTAATTATTGTCATTATTGTCAACATTTCAGTTTAAAACTTTAAAAACTAATAAAAGTATTAAACTGAAATGTTGAGTTTCTTTTGCAACTGGGAGAACTGTTTGCTCCCTTTACAAAAATTGACAATTAAATCTTGAAATGTACATACAAAATGTAGAAATCTTGGAAAGATATCATTATGTATACATGTGTATGTATTGATTTGCTTGTTGTATGATTTAGATTTAAATTTGAGTTTATTTTTGTCTTGTAGAAATTTTCCCGTCTACCCAGAGGTCCCACCCTGTCCTTCAAAGTTGAGAACTACTCCCTGTGTAAGGATGTCCTGTCCACACTGAAGAGACAGCAGACATACGCCTCACAGTTCCAACACTCCCCCCTCCTGGTGCTGAACAACCTGGCACGGGAAGGCATGCACTTCAAACTCATGTCCACCATGTTTCAGAACATGTTTCCTTCTATCAACATCCACAAGGTAAGGAACTCTTCTCTTGGGTTGATGTACAGACATTGTATTCATATGTAGACTTAAAACAGTCCATAAACTAGCTCCGGTTTGTTCCAATGATTGCTGCTATACGCAGAACAGTCTGTCCCTATTCAAATGTTTGGTTCTGCATATATATAACTTTGGGCATTTATCTAAACTCATATTAACTACATTTGTAAATGCTTTCATTGTTTTCCTCTACTTTAGTTGAAGCTAAACACCATCAAGAGATGTGTCCTCTTCACCTATGACCCTGACACAAACATGGTGGACTTCAGACATTAGTAAGTTTTACTGTATAGTGTATACTATACTGTCTCATTCCATATGTTAATAGTAAATATGCATTTGCTAAGATTGGGTAACATGTTTGACCTGTGCACATTTTGTGCTGACTCTGATGACTTTGACCTTCCTCAGTAACATCAAGGTCGTACCAATGGGCATGAGCCGGGGGGTGAAGAAGCTGCTCCAGTCTAAAGTCCCCAACCTTAAGAAATATGAGGATGTCAGTGAGTACATCTTAGGGTGAGGAAACCAAAATTGTATTTTAAAAAATGTGCATATTCATAAATATTAGAGAAATTCTTACCAAATTACGGTAAATTTTTGAATGTCATTAGAAAAGCAAATTTTTGTTGTCAGGTATATAAGTTTTGAGGTCTTTATAGCTATCATGGAGATATTCTACTAATATCTAGCTTAAAGATTCCCAATATTAGCAGCCCTACTGCATTGAATATGTCAACATCTGTGATGTCACTGCTTGACATTTTTTGGCAACACCACAGGGGTGGGAACCTTTCAGAGAGTGAGGCTGAGCCTGATGGTGACCAGAATGAGGTTGACCTGCCCCAGGAGGTCGCAGGTCGAGGGAACGAGGCTTCACAGAAAAGTGCCATCAGGCTGACAGAGGTTAGTATAGATAGATCGTACCTGTTGTTCATATTGTGTTCCTCAAATGTATGATCTTAAAAAAAACAGAGGAAGGAACAAAACTAGTTTCTATTGCCCAAGGAATATACTGCACCTTGATATTAGGTTTACATGTGTATAGTATAGATGATAGATGTTTGACAGCTCACACAGATTGTTCTTGGGCATATTGTTATTGACAATGTTGTTATCACATTGTCTTTTCCTCTGAGATAGTTTATCAGATGTAATAACGAATTAGGCTTATTTTGCTTGTTTTTAAATCCCCAGATTGGTCCCAGACTGAGACTTCAGCTGGTGAAGATAGAAGAGGGTTTGTGTGAGGGAGACGTCATCTTTCACCAGTTTGGTAAGGAATCATAGAATGTACCTGGTTCTTGTGCTACTGCAGTATAGTAGAAAGTAGATCAAAACAATCTGCAATACAAACTACCAGCTTTATTACAATAGTTTATAGAACTTGCACATTATCATGGAAGAAAGATACCTGGAAAAGTAAAGTGAATTTAGAGCTTTTGTTGTTTTAATTTCAGTTACAAAGTCAGCAAAGGAGATAGAAGAACTCAAAGAAAGACGGGAGGAGAAAAAGTGAGTATTCTTAAAGAAGTCTTTCAATTGTGCAGAGCTATTTTTATCCTGCATTTTTTTATAAAACAACTTCCAAGAAATGGGTGTGATGCATGAACATGTTACTGACTTTTGATATCACTTAATGTCAGTTGTATATAGTATGTTTGCAATTGAATCATATCCTAAGGCTAACGTCAAGGACACAATACAATATTTGCTGTGTTCTCCCTCAGGATGATCAAGGCACAGAGAAAGGCTGAGCAGGCTGCAAACATCAAGAAGAAAGAGCAACTCAAGGAGGAGAACAAGTAAGTTAGAATGCTCATTCATCTGAAAACAACATACATGCTTCTTTATAGCCTGACTCCCATCATTTTTATTGTTGTGTGAACTATCTTATGTACATACCATTGTTAGAAGAAAGATAATTGTTTATACGTTAACTCCATGTGGTACAAAAATGACAAACAAAATGTCTGACATATGATGTCACAAACTAGCATGGTAGCACCCATTGACCCAAAGGTAAAACAGAATAGGTTCTGCTTCACAAACCTGTAATGATACATGCTGGCACTGAAGAAGTACATATGCCTGTCAGCAGGGTGGAAGTACAGAACTTATACTTTCCTGTGTGTCTTTTCAGGCAACGATCTCTGGAAGGGATAAAGAGGAAGCAAACAGAGAACACAGCAGTTAATGAAGGTAGGAATGTACATAAAGTTATATAGTCTGGTAACTATCCTATAGGTATTCTAGCTCCAGTTTACTCCTGCTGAAAGAAGAAACATGAGAAATGAAAATGTATGACTGTATGAATTGTACAGTTCACATAGATGTTGTCTATTCCTTGCAGAAAACCCTGAGGACTCATCTGATGATGATACAAAGTACTTCAGACAGGAAGTAGGGGAAGAGCCAGATGCAGGTAAATTATTAAGATGACAGATAGAGGTACAAATTTGCATGAAATGGAGAAGGTATAATATTGACATGTCTGTAGTTGTTTTGTTTGCTCTGATAAGGGGAGCTGTAGAATGGGATGAATTCCAGGCTGCTCCCAACCCAGTGCCAACCTTGTGGGAAGGTTCTGAATGCGTGACATGTTCCTCTGTGAATAGTTTCATCACATCTGGGAATGCATCTACAGCAGCAACACCTGTGCTGCAGTAGCACTATGTGAACCAGTCAGAATTGCCCTGAGGAAGGTGACAGACGGTCACTGAAACATTGGCTGTGAAAAAAACACTTGGTTGTATAAAAATAGCATGTTTACTCAGTGACATTTTCCTATCCAGACCTGATGCTGTCTCGAACATCAAAGAGGAGACCCACCAAGGAAGATTCCTCAGAGAAAAGGAAAAGGCCAAGGAGTCAAAGTCAGCCTCATGGCGCCCAGGGAAACAGAAACTTCAAGAAGCAGAGGAGCGAGGGACAGGGAAAGCCTGGGCTTAAAGGTCAGAGGGGGTTCAAGAGGAAAGAGTTTGACGAGGGGAAAGGTGGGGGAGAACAGAAGAAGTTCGGGCCAAAGGGGAAGGTTTACAGGGTAAAAGGAGCAAAAGGGCCTATGAAAGGAAAACGTTCCAGATAGTATCTTGAAAGTTCATCTGTGTTGGTAGAAGTCATTATGATCCAGATAATAGTTATGGCCATTACTTTGGAACATCTGTTTTGCCCAGCTGTATTTTGGCAAACCCACGCCTACCTCCTGGTTATTTTCGTCCATTATTATCACCAAGAGTAAGGCAAATTAGCAAATGTGTTTATTGTACTTTGTAGTGCATTTTTGTTTCCTCATGTTGTCATAAACTGTAAATGACAGCTAATATTGCAAATGGTATTAACATTTTTAACATTATTTCAAATAAACACTTAAGACGTTTTATTAGATAAACAATCCAAGAACGCTTGTACTGCAAACAAATTTGATATGTAACAGAAGTTTATTGGTCATAAACATATGCCCTTCAAAATGAAGGTTAAGGTTACCAAATCTTTGAAAAGTATGAAGTCTTTTACACAGTTAATACATGCATCATTCATTTTTGTACATTTACTGATAACTTGCGTTGATTGTCTATGTAATGACAATGCCACTTCTCTTCTACTGTAACAATGGAATACATCAATATTATGTAATTGTGTTCTGGTACTGTTGTGAAAGTATCTGTATCTGTATATATAGCCGGTATAACCGCCTTTCGGCGTAACACACCAGCTTAAGTGTTGCAAGTTAGTCATTGATAAACAAGTCATGATAGACAGGACGAAAGAAAGAAAGGAAGAAAGAAAGAAAAAGAAAGAAAGAAAGAGAAAAAGAAAGAGAAAAGGGAAGAAAAATACATGAAAACGTATGATATCTGAATGTATTTTCAACCCGGTGCATTGTTATGGTAAATCTGTCCTTTGGTATAATATATGGTTGCCAATATTTGATTTTCCTGCCCAGAAGCGGTTAGTAAACTTCAATGTCCACTTATATCTTGACCAGGAGGGGTCTAAATACCTTTGAGTTCATTATTTCCCGATTGCTTCGCACACAATCGTTAAGGAAATGCCTTGCTTAATTCTTTGTTGTTCAGAGCGATAAAGGTCACATACTCGAAATGTTCCTTGAACAGCGCTGTAAAAGCTATACCTGGCAAAACGAATAAGAGCTGGCCATCTGTTCAGGCTTAGCTTAAATCATATAAAGGCGCTACACAACCCTCTGCAAAGCTTTGTCACAAGGCAGCCGCGTACCGCACACCATGGCTCTCTGTCCAGTCCTCCTGCTCGCAGTCCTGTGCTATTCCGAAGCAAATGTGCTAACAAGTCCAAATGAGGTGGAAGTGAGTGAAACGGGCGTATCCGCTGGGTCTTGCCAGGCCCTCGAGTACCTGCTGCTGTACATTGGCAGACTGGAGAGCGACTTGGAAGAACTGAGGAACAGGACGGACCAGTGTTGTCCTGGACAAGACACGGTCGGTGCTTTTCTTATCTCTTACATTTAAGTTACAAGGAGACCAGTGCAATGGCCAAGTGGGCAGAGCCTTGCATTCGGTAGGTTGTAATGCACTCAGCGTTTGGGAAAGAGTGAACTAATTTTGTATTTCTGTCCATTGTAATGTAGACCGTTGGCCAATATTTGGGCTTTGGTTAAATCTATGATTACAAGCCACTTTTAATTCAAACCCTGACTCATTGTCAAAGAATACAATAGAAGAAAGACAGTTGCCTCTATTAAATACAATGTGTCTAAAGGTACCGTTTATGGCTAAGGATTTACAGTTTTGCTACAGTTTTGTTAACTTCTTCACTGACAGAAAATGTTATAATATGTCCTCCACCAGCAGGTAACGGTGGCTGGTCTGCAGACTGTGGTTTCGGATCAGGCTGTGACCATCCAGCAGCTGCAAACTAGGGTGAACCAACTTTCAGGTACTAATCCACATAAACTCATTTGTTTCCTGCATTCACCTTTCATATATTGCAACAGTAAAATGTTAGATTGTCGAAATAGGACTTTTTGGATTTGACAACGTTTTAATGTACGTTCATCCAAGTTTAAAAATATACATATGTTCATTCGATGTTTGCAAATTAGACACTTTGAACGGTGCCCGTGACTGTATGGAACTGTTGGCGACTGGACACGATACCAGCGGTGTGTACACCATCTACCCTGATGGAGGAGGGAAAAGTCCTGTTCACGTCTACTGTGACATGGACACTGACGGGGGTGGATGGACGGTAAGACTGCTCCCTCATTAATAATAATCTACCTGTGATCAATAGGCAAAAGAAACGGCGACAATTTGGCCAAAAAGACTCACTAACACTAAAGCTGGTGTGTTACGCCGAAAGGCGGTTATACCGGCTATACAGATACAGATACAGATAATGCCATTTTCGTAGCCTGGTATCCAGTCTGATCGTGATTGGGGGTATTGGGGTGTTTAGGCAGGTTGTGTCTTCGGGGCCTCTAAGAGCTTCCCCCACCCAGTGCAACAGACCGTCCCGGTAGGAGTGTTACGCTAATCAGAGACAGTATGCTCGGGGATTTGGTTTCCCCCAACACGAGGAGGGCTAATTAATCTCTCGTGAAATACACACCGGGAAGCTTATGTGAGGCGGGCGGGCCAGAGCTCTTGCGGCCCCGACCACGAATCAGACTGGATACCAGGCTACCATTTTCGTTGAACTGATTTTAATTCCAGTTTCATTACATGGTACGGCATTTACCGTCCAGTTTTTTTTTAATTTCTCAATCTGGATCCAGATTTATCTTTGATTTATAAAAGATCACAGAAGTTGATGCGTGGGTTTGTATATTTGTGTACTTCCTCGTTTAAGGTTTATCCAGGCGTGTCTTGATTTTCAGCTATTCCAAAAGCGCCAAGATGGTTCGGTCAACTTCTACCAAGACTGGCAGGCGTACAAGACGGGGTTTGGTGACCTCATAGGAGAGTTCTGGCTAGGTGAGGTTACAACCCTTTGATATGATCAGAACATTTAAAAAGCCCTCAAGGATATTTTGTACTGTAAAAATCCTGTGAAAATTTCCTGTATTCCTGTATACTTATTACTACATACGTGAAAGGATATAGCGACTATTTTGTGGACTCCAGGTAATGACCACCTGCACCGTCTGACGGCCCAGGATGTGTACGAACTGAGGGTGGATCTGGAGGACTTTGAGGGGAACACGGCCTACGCCAAGTACAACATCTTCAGGGTGGAGGATGAGGTGCACAAGTACAGGCTCACTGTGGACGGGTACTCTGGTACAGCAGGTAAATTATCAGCGTTTTCTATCGCTGATGGCCAAGGTTACGAGCAAGGTTCCTACATGACTGGTCATTTTCTTTCTGTTTCATTGCCCTGCTAGTGTGTTTCAAACCTTGACAAAATGCACGTACTGCTATGATAACCAAATTATTCACCCCATTGCCCCATTACAATTACGAGAGTATGCACGATGTTGTCGTTGACTGTACGCACTTATCTTTTTCAGGTGATGGTATGACCGCTCATCATGACATGTTCTTTTCGACATGGGACAGGGACAACGACATTCACGACACGGACGACTGTGCCGAAACCTACAAAGGTGCATGGTGGTACAGTAGCTGCCATGAATCGAACCTGAACGGCCAGTACCTGATTGGGAGTCACCAGTCGTTCGCAGACGGTGTCAACTGGTATCATTGGAAGGGCCACCGCTATTCCCTGAAAACCACTGAAATGAAGATAAGGCCTAACTAGGCCAAGCAAATGTTCTCAAAGAAGGTTGATCCAAAGTCCCTTCTAGATCTCCAACATACATCATAACAGAAGGTTATTGATGAGTAAAATTGAATCGACAGCAAACTACATACTGTGTCAGTTGTCATGATTTGGGTTTAGCAGTTTTATTTACATAGTAATAATCTAGCCCATACTAATGACTCAACCAGCAAAGGAATTGATAAAAGTAACTATTTCTGAACAGTAGAGGAACAGATCCAAGGATGAACTTTGCTTCAGTTAATACTAGTACTTTGATACACTAATCATCAAAATTATTCAGATTTACGATTGTTACTTAAGGGGAATTGGAGGAATGTTATTAACACACGATTTACACGGATAACGTTAAAAAGGTAAGAAAAATCTGCAGGCCGGAGGTATAGTCCCTAAAGCCCCTTTAAGTACATGGCCGTGACCTCCCGACCTTCTCCATACTATAGTAGGGAGTTAGTCGAGAGCAAGGATATATGTGGTTGAGAGTTGGTCGGCGAATGCAGGTGGGTTTTTCTACCTCCATGGTCTTCGAGGTTGCCTTCTAGCATTTATGGATTTTGAAAAATGCATATTGAAACTCAAAAGTTCTATTATTCTTAGATCAGTGGAACGAACTGCAGCCATAATAGGATGGATTCCAGTCTAACGCCAGTGCATTCCTTAACGACAGACATCCCCAAATAGCTGACTCGCCGCGTTAAGTGTACGTTATAGATATAAAATGACTCTTAAAATATATTTGACCTCCATAGTGCCGTGTGAATAGGACAAACATAACTCACCCCTTGAGAACACCACAGGTGCTTCTGCGCTGTCTTTACGTAATTACACATATATATATCCCAGCTGAATGGATCTTTACCATTAGCTTTACCATCGCGTCGCCATGATGGTTCTTTCCATCGTCATCATCGTCGTCTTTCTTTACAAAAATCCCCAGATTGGTCCCAGACTGAGACTTCAGCTGGTGAAGATAGAGGAGGGTTTGTGTGAGGGAGATGTCATCTTTCACCAGTTTGGTAAGGAATCATAGATTGTGCCTGATGCTTGTGCTACTTCAGTATAGTAGAAAGTAGATCAAAACAATCTGACAGATACTACCAGCTTTATTACGATAGTTTACAGGACGTACAGAATATAATGGGAGAAAGATGCTTGGAAAAGTAAAGTGAATTTAGTCTGTACTGGATGCCTGTAATGATAGTGATGGTTTAGAGAGCTTTTGTTGTTTTAATTTCAGTTACGAAGTCAGCAAAGGAGATAGAAGAACTCAAAGAAAGACGGGAGGAGAAAAAGTGAGTATTCTTGCAGACCTCTTTTAATTGTGCATAGTAATTTTTACCCTGCATTTTTGCAATGAAACAACTTCCAAATGCTACCCAAGAAATGGGCGTGATGCATGAACATGTTATTGACTTTTGATGATACTTAATGTCAGTTGTATATAGTATGTTTGCTATTGAATCATATCATAAGGCAAACGTCAAGGCTACAATACAATATATTCTTCTCTCTCAGGATGATCAAGGCACAGAGGAAGGCTGAACAGGCCGCAAACATCAAGAAGAAAGAGCAACTCAAGGAGGAGAACAAGTAAGTTAGAATGCTCGTTCATCTGAAAACAACATACATGCATCTAGTCATAGTCTGACTTCCATTGTTTTTTTTAATTGTTTTGTGAACTACCTTATGTACATACCATTGTTAGAAGAAAGATAATTGTTTATAAGTTAACTCCATGTGGTACAAAAATGACAAACAAAATGTCTGGCATACAGTGTATGATGTCACAAACTAGCATGGTGGCACCCATTGACTCAAAGGTAAAACAGAATAGGTTCTGCTTCACAAATCTGTAATGATACATGCTGGCACTGAAGAAGTACATATGCCGGTCAGCAGGGTGGAAGTACAGAACTTAGTTATACTTTCCTGTGTGTATTTTCAGGCAACGATCTCTGGAAGGGATAAAGAGGAAGCAGACAGAGAACACAGCAGTTAATGAAGGTAGGAATGTATATAAAGTTATATAGTCTGGTAACTATCCTATAGGTATTCTAGCTCCAGTTTACTCCTGCTGAAACAAGAAACATGAGAAATGAAAATGTATGACTGTATGAATTGTACAGTTCATATAGATGTTGTCTATTCTTTGCAGAAAACCCTGAGGACTCCTCTGATTATGATACAAAGTACTTCAGACAGGAAGTAGGGGAAGAGCCAGATGCAGGTAAATTATTAAGATGACAGATAGAGGTACAAATTTGCATGAAAAGGAGAAGGTATATTGACATGTATGTAGTTGTGTTTTGTTCGCTTGATAGAGGAGATGTAGAGTAGGATGAATTACAGGCTGCTCCCAACCCAGCACCAACCTTGGTTGGAAGCAAAGTTGTGGGAAGGTTCTGAATGCGTGACATTTTCCTCTGTGAATAGTTTCATGGGAATGCATCTATAGCAGCGACACCTGTACTGCAGTGCAATGTGAACCAGTCAGAACCGAACTGAAACGTTGGCTGTGAATAAAACACTTGATTGTGTAAAAAGGGCATCTTTACTCAGTGACATTTTCCTATCCAGACCTGATGCTGTCTCGAACATCAAAGAGGAGACCTGCCAAGGAAGATTCCTCAGAGAAAAGGAAAAGGCCAAGAAGTCAAAGTCAGCCTCACGGTGCTCAGGGAAACAGAAACTTCAAGAAGCAGAGGAGCGAGGGACAGGGAAAGTCTGGGTTTAAAGGTCAGAGGGGGTTCAAGAGGAAACAGTTTGACGAGGGGAAAGGTGGGGGAGAACAGAAGAAGTTTGGGCCAAAGGGGAAGGTGTACAGGGTAAAAGGAGCAAAAGGGCCTATGAAAGGAAAACGTTCCAGATAGTATCTTGAAAGTTCATCTGTGTTGGTAGAAGTCATTATGACCCAGATAATAGTTATGGCCCATTACTTTGGAACATCTGTTTTGCCCAGCTGTATTTTGGCAAACCCATGCCAACCTCCTGCTTATTTTCGTCCATTATTATCACCAAGAGTACGGCAAATTAGCAAATGTTTTTATTGTACTTTGTAGTGCATTTTTGTTTCCTCATGTTGTCATAAACTGTAAATGACAGCTAATATCGCAAATGGTATTAACATTTTTAACATTATTTCAAATAAACACTTAAGACGTTTTATTAGATAAACAATCCAAGAACGCTTGTACTGCAAACAAATTTGATATGTAACAGAAGTGTATTGGTCATAAACATATGCCCTTCGAAATGAAGGTTAAGGTGACCAAATCTTTGAAAAGTATGAAGTCTTTTACACAGTTAATACATGCATCATTCATTTTTGTACATTTACTGATAACTTGCGTTGCTTGTCTATGGTAATGACAATGCCACTTCCACTAGCTTCTCTTTATCTGTAACAATGGAATATATCAATATTATGCAATTGTGTTCTGGTACTGTTGTGAAAGTATCTGTATCTGTATATATAGCCGGTATAAACGCCTTTCGGCGTAACACACCAGCTTAAGTGTTGCAAGTTAGTCATTGATAAACAAGTCATGAAAGACAGGACGAAAGAAAGAGAAAAAGAAAGAGAAAAAGGAAGAAAAATACATGAAAACGTATGATATCTGAATGTATTTTCAACCCGGTGCATTGTTATGGTAAGTCCTTTGGTATAATATATGGTTGCCAATATTTGATTTTCCTGCCCAGAAGCGGTTAGTAAACTTCAATGTCCACTTATATCTTGACCAGGAGGGGTCTAAATACCTTTGAGTTCATTATTTCCCGATTGCTTCGCACACAATCATTAAGGAAATGCCTTGCTTAATTCGTTGGTGTTCATAGCGATAAAACTTACATACTCGAAATGTGCCTTGAATGGAGCTGTAAAAGCTATACCTGGCAAAATGCATAAGAGCTGGCCATCTGTTCAGGCTTAGCTTATATCATATAAAGGCGCTACACAACCCTCCGCAAAGCTTTGTCACAAGGCAGCCGCGTACAACACACCATGGCTCTCCGTCCAATCCTCCTGCTCGCACTTTTGTGCTATTCCGAAGCAAATGTGCTACCGGGAACGAATGAGGTGGAAGTGAGTGAAACGGGCGTATCCGCTGGGTCTTGCCAGGCCCTCGAGTACCTGCTGCTGTACACTGGCAGGCTGGAGAGCGACTTGGAAGAACTGAGGAACAGGACGGAGTGGTGTTGTCCTGGACAAGACACGGTTGGTGTTTTTCTTATCTCTTACATGTAAGTTACAAGGAGACCAGTGCAATGGCGAAGTGGGCAGAGCCTTCCATTCAGTAGGTTGTAAGTGTGAAACGTCGGCCAAGTCATACTAAAGACTTAGAAATGGTGCATAACGATTTTTTTTACTTAGCACTCAGCATTTGAGAAAGAGTAAACTAAGTTTGTAATTCTGTCCATTGTAAGGTAGACTGTTGGCCAATATTTGGGCTTTTGTTTAATCTATGATTACAAGCCCAAGAATACAATAGAAGAACGACAGTTGCCTCTAATACAATGTGTCTAAAGGTACCGTTTATAGAAGAGGATTTACAGTTTTGCTACTGTTTTATTAACTTCATCACTAACAGAAAATGTTACTAGTATATGTCCTCCACCAGCAGGTAACGGTGGCTGGTCTGCAGACCTTGGTTTTGGATCAGGCTGTGACCATCCAGCAGCTGCAAACTAGGGTGAACCAACTTTCAGGTACTAATCCACATAGACTCATTTGTTTCCTGCATTAACCTTTCATATATTGCAACAGTAAAATGTTAGATTGTCGAAATAGGACTTTTTGGATTTGACGCATGTCTCAGCCAAAACGTTTTAATGTGAGGTTCATCCAAGTTTAAAATATACAACATGTTCATTCGATGTTTGCAAATTAGACACTTTGAACGGTGCCCGTGACTGTATGGAACTGTTGACGACTGGACACGATACCAGTGATGTGTACACCATCTACCCTGATGGAGGAGGGAAAAGTCCTGTTCACGTCTACTGTGACATGGACACTGACGGGGGTGGATGGACGGTAAGACTGCTCCCTCGTTGATAATAATCTACCTGTGATCAATAGGAAAAGAAACGGCGACAATTTGGCCCAAAAGACTCACTAATGCCATTTTTGTTGAACTGATTTTAATTCCAGTTTCATTACATGTTACGGCATTCACCGGCCATTTTTTTTTAATTTCTCAATCTGGATCCAGATTTATCTTTGATTTATAAAAGAGCACAGAAGTTGATGCGTGGGTTTGTATATTTGTGCACTTTCTATTTTAAGGTTTATCAAGGCGTGTCTTGATTTTCAGCTATTCCAAAAGCGCCAAGACGGTTCGGTCAACTTCTATCGAGATTGGCAGGCGTACAAGACAGGGTTTGGTGACCTCATAGGAGAGTTCTGGCTAGGTGAGGTTACAGCCCTTTGATATGATCAGAACATTTATGTTTAATCTTAAGAAGCCCTCAAGGATATTTTGTACTGTCAAAAGCCCTTATCTTATTACTACGTACATGAAAGGATATAGGGACTATTTTGTGGACTCCAGGTAACGACCACCTGCACCGTCTGACGGCCCAGGATGTGTACGAACTGAGGGTGGATCTGGAGGACTTTGAGGGCAACACGGCCTACGCCAAGTACAACATCTTCAGGGTGGAGGATGAAGTGCACAAGTACAGGCTCACTGTAGACGGGTACTCTGGTACAGCAGGTAAATTATCAGCGTTTTCTATCGCTGATGGCCAAGGTTAAGAGCAAGATTCCTACATGACTGGTCATTTTCCTTCTGTTTCCATTGCCCTGCTAGTGTGTTTCAAACCTTGACAAAATGCACGTACTGCTATGATAACCAAATTATTCACCCCATTGCCCCATTACAATTACGAGAGTATGCACGATGTTGTCGTTGACTGTACGCACTTATCTTTTTCAGGTGATGGTATGACCGCTCATCATGACATGTTCTTTTCGACATGGGACAGGGACAACGACATTCACGACACGGACGACTGTGCCGAAACCTACAAAGGTGCATGGTGGTACAGCAGCTGCCATCGTTCCAACCTGAACGGCCAGTACCTGATTGGGAATCACCAGTCGTACGGAGACGGCGTCAACTGGTCGCGTTGGAAGGGCCAATACTATTCCCTGAAAACCGCTGAAATGAAGATAAGGCCTAACTAGGCCAAGCAAATGTTCTCAAAGAAGGTTGATCCAAAGTCCCTTCTAGATCTCCAACATACATAATAACAGAAGGTTATTGATGAGTAAAATTGAATCAACAGCAAACTACATACTGTGTCAGTTGTCATGATTTGGGTTTAGCAGTTTTATTTACATAGTAATAATCTAGCCCATACTAATGACTCAACCAGCAAAGGAATTGATAAAAGTAACTATTTCTGAACAGTAGAGGAACAGATCCAAGGATGGACTGTGCTTCAGTTAATACTAGTACTTTGATACACTAATCATCAAAATTATTCAGATTTACGATTGTTACTTAAGGGGAATAGGAGGAATGTTATTAACACACGATTTACACGGATAACGTTAAAAAGGTAAGAAAAATCTGTAGGCCGGAGGTATAGTCCCTAAAGCCCCTTTAAGTACATGGCCGTGACCTCTCGACCTTCTCCATACTATAGTTGGGAGTTAGTCGAGAGCAAGGGGTGGTTGAGAGTTGGTCGGCGAGGTTGCCTTCTAGCATTTATGGATTTTGAAAAAATGCATATTGAAACTCAAAAGTCCTATTCTTCTTAGATCAGTGGAACGAACTGCAGCCATAATAGGATGGATTCCAGTCTACCGCCAGTGCATTCCTTAACGACAGACATCCCCAAGTAGCTGACTCGCCGCGTTAAGTGTACATTATAGATATAAAATCAATCTTCAAATATATTTGACCTCCTTAGTGCCGTGTGAATAGGACAATCGTAACTCACCCCTTGAGAACACCACAGGTGTTTCTGCGCTGTCCTTATGTAATTGCACATATATATATCCCAGCTGAATGAATCTTTACCATTAGCTTTACCATCGCGTCGCCATGATGGTTCTTTCCATCGTCGTCCTCTTCCTGCTGCACCAGTTCAGCAGTTCAACAGCCCAACTCGGCTCGGAGGATCCTGCTGGATGGACTGACATTGGACTGACTGACGTTGGAGATCACTTTGCCTTGAGCGGATCGTGTATGGCATATGGAGAACTTCTCCAGTACTTAACTAGACAGGACAAGCTGGAGAGCGAGCTGGAGGCACTGAAGAACGACAGTCAGCAATGCTGTGGGGGGCAATGGGCGGTAAGTTTGTCTCACTTGGTCGGAATCCATATCACGTTTTAAGTCTGTATGTACGTCTTGGCGTCATGGTATTTTTTGTAATGTTGGACGGAGAATATCGAGAATATTGGCTGTAACAACAATGTGCATGTAACTTTTCAGAACAGGTCATATCCCTTGGTACCAGTGGGGTAGCTATTCTGCATTTTGTACTTTGTAGCAACACTTTAACTTGTGTTAATTTTTCTATCTCTGGTTCGCGAATGTACAGGTCAACTTCAATGACCAGTCCAACATCATTCAGCAACAACAGGCAACCATTCAACAACAACAGGCGACAATACAGCAGATGCAGGAGCTTCTCACGGCAGTCTCAGGTTCATTTCATTTCGATTTAGTCCGCAACTGTAGAGCATAGTTAGCTCTAAATTATCTGGTTTAGGTGATAGATTTGAAACAACTTTTTGTAGAAGAATTTAACCCAGTTTTATGTGATACTGTCTTCACAAACTAGACAAGCTGAACGGCCCCCGTGACTGTATGGAACTGTTGGCGACTGGACACGATACCAGCGGTGTGTACACCATCTACCCTGATGGAGGAGGGAAAAGTCCTGTTCACGTCTACTGTGACATGGACACTGACGGGGGTGGATGGACGGTACAGTTTTTAAGCAATCCTTAGTCAGCCCTTCAGATGACTTTTTAAATCTCTCTCATACACATTAATATATGTATCCATTTCTATGTCTAGTTGTTCCAAAAGCGCCAAGACGGTTCGGTCAACTTCTACCAAGACTGGAAGGCGTACAAGACAGGGTTTGGTGACCTCAGGGGAGAGTTCTGGCTAGGTATGATTACAACCATTCAACATTATGAAAACGTTTATCTTAACTTAAAATCTTAAGATCCTTAGGGATATTCTATACTGATCAAAATCCATGAACATTTCCACAGGCAACGACCACCTGCACCGTCTGACGGCCCAGGATGTGTACGAACTGAGGGTGGATCTGGAGGACTTTGAGGGGAACACGGCCTACGCCAAGTACGACATCTTCAGGGTGGAGGATGAGGTGCACAAGTACAGGCTCACTATTAGCGGGTACAACGTTAACAGTACTGCAGGTAAACTATCAAGCTTTTATTACTAGTATTTAGAGCTATAACACGTTTGCCCCTGAGCTTCTTCAGTTTAGAAAAAATCTAGGCCAAGGACTGTCCTTTTAAAAGGTTTGATCATTATGGTAATGATTGCGATTCAAAGCAATGTAACAAGGTTTGAACCACCACAGCGTTCGCTGATAGTCTAGATTAAAAGCAAGGCTCTGATATGAATGGCAATATTTTACCTCTGAGTCATAGCCCTATCAGTGTGTTTCAGACTTTTGTACAGTTAATAAGTATTCATACCATTACCAAGTCAATTACAATCACATGGGGCATGGTTGGTTTTATTCCTAACTGTAGATATAAATTTTTACGTGTTTAATTAATTGTCAGGTGATGCCATGACCGTCCCATCCCATCCACACGACGGCATGTACTTTTCTACAAGGGACAGGGAGAACGACATTCAGCCCCATGATCACTGTGCCGAAGTATACAAAGGTGCATGGTGGTACAATCACTGCCACGTTGCAAACCTGAACGGCCTGTATCTTGGCGGGACTCACCAGTCCTTTGCAGACGGTGTCAACTGGGAGCCATGGAAGGGCCTCCACTATTCCCTGAAAACTTCTGAAATGAAGATAAGGCCTAACTAGGTCAAACAAATGTTCTGTAAGAAGGTTGATACAAAGTCCCTTCTCACACATCATAGCAGAATTTCAGATAAAATCAAACCATCAGCACGACATACTGTTGTCAGTCCTCATGATTTATTTACTGTTTCTGGTTACCTTAGTACTAGTAATAACTTAGTCCATGCTAATGACTCAACGGGGAAAAGGAGGGATAGAATGGATTATTTCCGGGGAACGGAACAGTTCCGAGGATGAACTGCTCCTTAAGCCCCTAAACAAATAGCTGACGGAGGCAATCCTGGCAATGGTTGGGAGTTAGATGAAAGCAATTAAGGCCATTTGTGGTTGAGAGTTTGTCAGCGAGGTTGCGCCCACTAGTCTTTAAAATGCGTGTGCACCAGCTGACTACGAAAAAGGAAATGGCTCGATTTACCCGACGTAATGTAGTTTCATAAAGTAATGGAGAGAATGAACGTGATCCAGACAACTAGTTCCTGTGCTCAATTTTACATAGATGCGTGGTGTGTAAGTGTAAGTGCAAATGTAAAGTTGTTCCTCAAATAACTGTTTGACCCATATAGCCTCGTGTGCAAATCACAAAAATAGCTCACCACTTGAGAACACTGCAGGTGTTTCTGCGCTATCTTGACGTATGTAATTACACACACACATACCCCATATATCCCGGCCGAAGGGATCTTTACTATCAACATTCCTATCGCGTCGCCATGATGGTTCTTTCCATCGTCTTCCTCTTTCTGCTGCACCAGTTCAGCGGTTCAACAGCTCAACTCGGTTCGGAGGATCCTGCTGGATGGACTGTGACTGACGTTGGAGAACACGGTGCCTTGACCGGATCGTGCCTGGCATATGGAGAACTTCTCCAGTACTTAACTAGACAGGACAAGCTGGAGAGCGAGCTGGAGGGACTAAAGAACGAGACTCAGCAATGTTGTGGGGGGCAGTGGGCGGTAAGTTTGTCTTACTAAATGTCATTCACATTACACAAATATTAATGTACATCTTGGTGTCGTGGTCTTTTTTGTAATGTTGCACAGAAATGTTTCGAGAATGTTGGCTGTAACTGCGTGTACGATGTGCTTATGACTTTTCATAACAGATATCCCTATGTACCAATGGAGAAGATATTCTGCACTTTAATTTTGTGTTTTTTCTCTTTATCCGCGACAGTCCTTTGGCAGTCTACAGCTCAACCTCAATGACCAGTCCACCGTCCTCCAGCAACAACAGGCCACAATTCAACAACTACAAACAACCGTGGATGATCAGGTCAACATCATACAGCAACAACAAACCACCATTCAACTACAACAGGCGACAATACAGCAGATGCAGACGCTTCTAACAGCAGTCTCAGGTTACTTTCTGGTGTACCTCATTAATAATGATTGTAATCTTTAACCATAGTTTAGCTCTATATCAACTGGTCAAAGTGAGCAAGTTAAAAGAACCTTTTATTACAAAACTTTTCCCAACTTCATGCAGCACTGTCTTCACAATCACAGACAAGCTGAACGGTGCCCGTGACTGTATGGAACTGTTGGCGACTGGACACGATACCAGCGGTGTGTACACCATCTACCCTGATGGAGGAGGGAAAAGTCCTGTTCACGTCTACTGTGACATGGACACTGACGGGGGTGGATGGACGGTACGGATTTCAGGCAATCTTAAGCTTTATTGAGTTGTCAGCAGATGCCTTTTTTTAAATTCACTTTGGATGCATGGATACATTACAATATGTACCCATTTCCACTATCAGTTGTTCCAAAAGCGCCAAGACGGTTCGCTCAACTTCTACCTAGACTGGCAGGCGTACAAGACGGGGTTTGGTGACCTAAGAGGAGAGTTCTGGCTAGGTGAGGTTACAACCTTTAAAATGGTCAGAAAATTTATATTTAATCTTAAGAAGCCCTGAAGGATAGTTTGTACTCGGTCCAAATCATGTGAACATTTCCACAGGTAATGACAATCTCCACCGTCTGACGGCCCAGAATGTGTACGAACTGAGAGTGGATCTGGAGGACTTTGAGGGGAACACGGCCTACGCCAAGTACAACATCTTCAGGGTGGAGGATGAGGTGCACAAGTACAGGCTCACTGTGGAAGGGTACAACGGCACTGCAGGTGGGTCGTAATGTAAACCTCGTATCGACTATTTGCAAGATGTCAGAAATGTTCTTGCTCCCAAGCGAATTATGATGGCTATCAAAATATGTCACTTTAGCCAAACCTTAAATCTTTTAAATATCTGACATTCATCTTATTTTTAGGTGATGGCCTGACCTACCACAATGGCATGTACTTTTCCACAAGGGACAGGGAAAACGACATCCACAGTACTGATCACTGTGCTCAAGTGTACAAAGGTGCATGGTGGTACCGTAACGGCCACCATTCAAACCTGAACGGCCTGTACCTGTTTGGGACTCACCAGTCTTACGCAGATGGTGTCAACTGGCTGCCATGGAAGGGCCTCTACTATTCCCTGAAAACTACTGAAATGAAGATAAGGCCTAACTAGGTCAAACAAATGTTCTGTTAAGAAGGTTGATACAAAGTCCCTTCTCACACATCATAGCAGAATTTCAGGTAAAATCAAACCATCAGCACGACATACTGTTGTCAGTTCTCATGATTTATTTACTGTTTCTGGTTACCTTGGTATTAGTAATAACTTAGTCCATGCTAATGACTCAACGGGGAAAAGGAGGGATAGAATGGATTATTTCCTAGGAACAGTTCCGAGGATGAGCTGCTCCTAAAGCCCCTAAACAAACAGCTGACGGAGGCCTCTCCTGGCAATGGTTGTGAGTTAGATGAAAGCAAGGCCATTTGTGGTTGAGAGTTTGTCAGCGAGGTTGCGCCCACTAGTCTTTAAAATGCGTGTGCACCAGCTGACTACGAAAAAGGAAATGGCTCGATTTACCCGACGTAATGTAGTTTCATAAAGTAATGGAGAGAATGAACGTGATCCAGACAACTAGTTCCTGTGCTTAATGTTACATAGATGCGTGGTGTGTAAGTGTAAATGTAAAGTTGTTCCTCAAATAACTGTTTGACCCATATAGCCTCGTGTGCAAATGACAAAAATAGCTCACCACTTGAGAACACTGCAGGTGTTTCTGCGCTATCGTTACGTAATTGCACACACACACACACACACACACACACACATACCCCATATATCCCGGCCGAAGGGATCTTTGGTATCGACGCTGTGGTATCAGCATTCCTATCGCGTCGCCATGATGATTCTTTCCATCGTCGTCCTCTTCCTGCTGCACCAGTTCAGTTCTTCAACAGCCCAACTCGGTTCGGAGGATCCTGCTGGATGGACTGTGACTGATGTTGGAGAACACGGTGTCTTGACCGGATCGTGTCTGGCATATGGAGAACTTCTCCAGTACTTAACTAGACAGGACAAGCTGGAGAGCGAGTTGGAGGGACTAAAGAACGAGACTCAGCAATGCTGTGGGGGGCAATGGGCGGTAAGTTTGTCTTACTAAATGGCATCCATGTTACACAATGTACATCTTGGTGTCATGGTCTTTTTTGTAATGTTGCACAGAAATGTTTCGAGAATGTTGGCTGTAACTGCGTGTACGATGTGCATATGACTTTTCATAACAGATATCCCTATATACCAATGGAGAAAATATTCTGCACTTTAATTTTGTGTTTTTTTCTCTATATCCGCGACAGTCCTTTGACAGTCTACAGCTCAACCTCAATGACCAGTCCATCGTCCTCCAGCAACAACAGGCCACAATTCAACAACTACAAGCGACAGTGGATGACCAGGTTAACGCGAATCAACACCAGCAAACCACCATGCAACAACTACAAACAACCGTGGATGAACAGGTTAACATAAATCAACACCAGCAGACCACCATGCAACAACTACAGACAACAGTGGATAGCCAGGTCAACGTCATACAACAACAACAGACCACAATTCAACAACAACAGGCGACAATACAGCAGATGGATGCGCTTCTCACAGCAGTCTCAGGTTCATTTCCTGTGTACGAGTACCTCCTTGTAATCGTTAACCACATCAGCATAGTTTATCTTTACATGATCTGTTCTAGGTGAACAATTTAAAAGAACGTTTTATTACAGAACTCCTTCCAACTTCATGAAATACTTTCTTTACAAACTAGACAAGCTGAACGGCCCCCGTGACTGTATGGAACTGTTGGCGACTGGACACGATACCAGCGGTGTGTACACCATCTACCCTGATGGAGGAGGGAAAAGTCCTGTTCACGTCTACTGTGACATGGACACTGACGGGGGTGGATGGACGGTACAGACTTCAGGCAATCTTTATTGAGTTGTCAGCAGATGACTTTTTTTAATTCACTTTGACTTATACACATTACAATATGTATCCATTTCCACTATCAGTTGTTCCAAAAGCGCCAAGACGGTTCGGTCAACTTCTACCTAGACTGGCAGGCGTACAAGACAGGATTCGGTGACCTCAGGGGAGAGTTCTGGCTAGGTATGATTACAACCTTTAAAATAGTCAGAAAATGTATATTTAATCTTAAGACGCCCTGAAGGATAGTATTTTGTACTGGTCAAAATCCTGTGAACATTTCCACAGGTAATGACAATCTCCACCGTCTGACGGCCCAGGATGTGTACGAACTGAGGGTGGATCTGGAGGACTTTGAAGGAAACACGGAATACGCCAAGTACAACATCTTCAGGGTGGAGGATGAGGTGCACAAGTACAGGCTCACTGTGGAAGGGTACAGCGGCACTGCAGGTGGGTCGTAATGTAAACCTCGTATCGACTATTTGCAAGATTTCAGGAATGCTCTTGCTCCCAAGAGAATTATGATGGCTATCAAAATATGTTACTTTAGCCAAACCTTAAATCTTTTAAATATCTAACATGTTCATCTTATTTTTAGGTGATGGCCTGACCTATCACAATGGCATGTACTTTTCCACAAGGGACAGGGAAAATGACATCCACAGTACTGATCACTGTGCTCAAGTGTACAAAGGTGCATGGTGGTACCGTACCGGCCACCATGCAAACCTGAACGGCCTGTACCTGGTTGGGACTCACCAGTCTCTCGCAGATGGTGTCAACTGGGTGCCATGGAAGGGTCTGCAATATTCACTGAAAACTAGTGAAATGAAAATCAGACCAAATTAGGCTGACATTTATGCATCGTCATGGCCAGCATGAGGACTAGCATCCAGGTCCTCACGGACAATAAAATGAGTACAGAGAGAAATAAAACACCAAGGTGGACTTGTGTGAATAGCCTACTTTGTTGATAGTCTTGAAGTAAAATAAACAACACCATTACTTGTCAATATTTACGACAGGCGTCCCGCAACTTACTAACTTATCTCCTTAAATGTAAATAAAGAATACTCCTCAAATATGTTTGACCTCCACAGACGGTCCCGTATACAAAGAACAAACATACTAGTAACTCACCCCTTGAGAACACCACAGGTGTTTCTGCGCTGTCTTTACGTAATTGCACATATATATATATATATCCCAGCTGAATGGATATTTACCATTAGCTTTACCATCGCGTCGCCATGATGGTTCTTTCCATCGTCGCCCTCTTCCTGCTGCACCAGTTCAGCGGTTCAACAGCCCAACACGGTTCAGAGGATCCTGCTGGATGGACTGTGACTGACGTTGGAGAACACGTTGCATTGAGCGGATCGTGTCTGGCATATGGAGAACTTCTCCAGTATTTAACTAGACAGGACAAGCTGGAGAGCGAGTTGGAGGGACTGAAGAACGAGACCCAGCAATGCTGTGGAGGGCAGGGGACAGTAAGTCTTTGTTCCTAAACAGTTTGCTGCAAGCATGTCATATTTTAGAGCAGTATAGAATACCTTAGAGTGAAGCTCACTATGGAATCCATTTGCATTTGTTACAGTACACCTTCCAAGCCGCCGTTCTGCAGCAACAACAGGCCTTTGTAGAAGAGCTGGGAGCGACAGTGAGTGACCAGGCTAACACCATGCAGCACCTACAGGATACGGTCAACAACCAAGTCAACATCATTCAACAACAACAAACCACAATACAGCAGATGCAGACCCTTTTGAACCAAATAACAGGTTCGTTTCCTTGGCAGTGGCTCTAATGTAGAACTGTGGCAATATTCAATGCAGTAGAACATCTAGAAATGCTTCTATAGTAAGATTTTTCTAACTTCAGTGTATTTTTACAAACTGATCATGAAGACAGGCTTAGCGGCCCTCGTGACTGTATGGAACTGTTGTCCACTGGACACGATGTCAGTGATGTGTACACCATCTATCCTGATGGCGATGGAAAAAGTCCTGTTCACGTCTACTGTGACATGGACACTGACGGGGGTGGGTGGACGGTAAGAAGGCATTGCTTTGTTTTTATTCATATGCCAGTCAATTTGAATATTTACTTGTCAATTTCCTTCCACTTCTTACAGCAAGTTCTTGTTCTTCTTTTGGCGTATTGAAAGCTTCATATTAAAAAAAATTCCATGTGCATATACAGTTGTTCCAAAAGCGTCAAGATGGTTCCGTCAGCTTCTACCGAGACTGGCAGGCGTACAAGACAGGGTTTGGTGACCTCAGGGGAGAGTTCTGGCTAGGTGAGGTCTATTTTTGGATGATGTACATGTTTATCATATATACATGGTATCATCGTAGGTATGCCTTCAGCAAATTTGATAAAGGGTTTAAGTCAATAATGTGGACGCCTCTTACTACGTGAAAGGATTATAGCGACTATTTTGTGGACTCCAGGTAATGACAACCTCCACCGTCTGACGGCCCAGGATGTGTACGAACTGAGGGTGGATCTGGAGGACTTTGAGGGCAACACGGCCTACGCCAAGTACAACATCTTCAGGGTGGAGGATGAGGTGCACAAGTACAGGCTCACTATTAGCGGGTACAACGGAACTGCAGGTAAGTTTTGCTGCCAAGATTCGTCCCTCACTGTCTGAGGAAATGACGAGATCCATCTAAATGTTGATTATGTAATGTGTTCAGCTGATTACGTAACGCATAAAAACGCCTTAGAACGCATTCCACTCACAACAGAAGCCATCAAGAATTCAAGACCTTGATATCAATAAAACACTTACTTTGTATATTTAAGATACCTGTTTGTTTTTCAGGTGACGCCATGACCGACCCATTCCATCCTCATGACGGCATGTACTTTTCTACAAGGGACAGGGAGAACGACATCCACACCAGTGAGCACTGTGCTCAGGTGTACAAAGGAGCGTGGTGGTACGAGAAATGCCACCGTGCAAACCTGAACGGCCTGTATCACGGAGGGGCTCACCAGTCCTTCGCAGACGGCGTCAACTGGTTCCCATGGAAGGGATACGATTATTCCCTAAAAACCACTGAAATGAAAATCAGGCCTAACTGAGCCAAGCAACCAGGATCACAGAAGGTCGACATAAAGTCCCTTCCCCGGCACTTGTCGAAATAAAGAGCCAATACCATATACTGTTACTGTTGTTGGGTTCCATGATTCTGGCTGCCATGTTGATAGCATAATGCACAAAATAAGCACATGGTTGTATCATTGACTAAGTACCCAAAGAGTAAAGAAAATATGGGAAAAATTGACCCTTGGTAATTTTTGTTAATTGTCTAGAAAACCCCTGTTTCTTTTGTTTCGGCCCGTAACCTTTGACACGATCACGTGATACGCCATTCGACTTGACGGTACGCGGGTGCCGGTCTTGCTTTTGTTTTTCTCTTCATCTGGTGTTTTTGCGAGTATGGAGTCTGATCCTGAGACGAAGAGGAAGAAGAAGAGACGATGTTCCGTGTGTCGGCTACCAGTGAAAGGACACCCGGGACCATACGGCCGCGGCAGGTGCACTTTTGAGCGGCCAGAAGGAACCTCAGATGAAGACTTTTTCGGACGACAGCGGGGTAGTGCTAACGTTCAGGAGAAGATCAGAGGCCTTCGGCGGCACAGTAAAGTTCCGGAGCTAGTGCGTAAGGCCTGGTCGGACAGCCTCTCGGAAGACGCGGAAGAGGAGGTGAGGTTGGCTAGATCATACAACCTAAAGAAATCGTCGGATGACGGCGGAGAGAAAGCCAGCGTTCGAGCAAGAAGTGAGCCCCCTCCCCAGGTTTCTCGCCAAAACGCACGTGATCGGAGCAGGGAGTATGCACAAGGGAAAGACCAGCCCGACATACGAGACCTGAGAGAATCTAGGAAATTGGTCAAAGAGGTGGACAAGGCTTTGGACGACTGGTTACATCCAGTTACAAGCCAGGAGAGGAGGATCAGCGACAAATGCCTTGACGAGAGCGACTTTGATTCAACTTCAACATCATCACAGACTGAATCGGGGCGGTCGTCCGACACAGAGGAGTCAGCTTACACACGAAAACCAGAAAGGCGCCGGCGTCGCAAGGGGTCGCGTAAGAAGAAGACCGAGGCTAGGGATCCGCCCCAAACGCTTTCATCCGACACAACAGAGGCAGAGTCGGGTTTCGTGAGAAAACCAGACAAGCGCAAGCGTCGCAGGGGGTCGCGTAAGAAGAAAACCGAGGCTAGGGATCCGCCCCAAACGCTGTCATCCGACACAACAGAGTCAGAGCTGGGTTTCGTGAGAAAACCAGACAAGCGCAAGCGTCGCAAGGGG